GTCCAATTCAAGACCCTGCTTTTCCAAAAGAGAAAAACCAACACCAGAGTCAAGCCCAAGCAATGTAGGGTTTAAAAAACCAAATAAAACGAAGAAGTCGCGAAATTCGCGAAACAAGTAATCATCCCCCCGAAGAGCAAGCGCGCTCTCAATACCAAAACCTATCAATTGAATTCCATAAATGTAAAAAAAAGAAGCCCAAAGAAAAGCAACAGAACCAAAATTATCCCAGAAAAACAAAATTGAACGAAGACTGAATAGATCCGGAATGAAAAATTGTAGCTGCAACAGACCGTAGAGCGCGCGAGAGACTGAGTAAGCGATGTACGATCAAGAGAACTCAATTAATTACAAGTTCTGAATTCAATCTCTCTGAAAATTTTCCTTCTTTTAAACCTCGTGAAATTCTTTCCAATCTTTCTTGCCTTCAATCGCAATATCTTTGAGTCGCTCTTTGGTTGCGTTCTATGTTGGTCTGAAAGAGGAAGCTTTCTTGTTCCTTTTTTTTATTCGCTTCAACGTTTCCGATCGTTGCCCTTTGGTGAATTTATCGGGGTCGTGCAAGTAAATGACTGAAATTACGAAAATGGACATAGGTTTTTTTTTACTGCGAAGGTGGGTTGATTCGATAGGTTTCTTGAAGTCGAAGATGGGTTGATTCGGGTTTTCACGTCTAATTTATTTTTTATGAAAACTATAAATCTGAATATTTTCACAATTTTGTATGTTATTATTCTTCTATTGAAAACATATCATAATCTATTCAGTTATTAATATTAAAGTAATTATCTAATTTTCGTCATTTTCATCTTAGTCATGTGAAGTTACTTAAATACCCCGGTACGGGTGAAGCTGTACACGAGATATTTACTTTCGTCAATACGCCGGCCTTTTCCGGGTGGGACGGTAAAAGGAGAGAGAGGCGTAGGGGTATTTTGGTAAATGTGTGATGGTTTTGGCGCTCAAGTTTTCGGGGTTGAAAAAGAAGGGATTCACGAAGTCGTCGTGATTTCGAGTTGGGCTATAAAATTGGGCCCAAACGAATCGTTGTGATTTCGAATTGGGCTATAAAATTGGGCCCAAACGAGTCGTTGTGATTTCGAGTTGGGCTATGAATTTGGGCCCAACACTGTGGGCTTGTATTCCTTTCCTTCTTTGGGCCCATATGACCCAAATTTTCAAATGTTGGGTAATTGGTATTTTGTATTCAAGACGAAATTGGGCCACCAAAAATACGCCATTCCATATATTTACACCAATTATATATTAAGAAAAAAAAGTACAAATTGATATTTATATTAATTTCGGCGACGGCTTCGATCTTCCGCCGGCGAACTGTGTATTACCAAATTTGGCCTTCAAAACATGAACGGCGTCGGCGCAAAGAACGGCGTCGCCACCATCGTTGAGCTCCTCCTGATGAGTTCAAACAACATTCTTAATTTTCATTGTTTTTACAATAATTTAAATGATTTTAAAAAACCTAAAAATTGATTTTCAGAAACACTTCCAAAAATTTCACAAAATTAAGGATAATTAAATCACTTTGGCCACTGTTTTTAATTCGTTTCATTACCAGTAACCATCTCTGCCGTACGACTTGGTCACAGATCGGACTTGCCGGCTGGACGTTTTCTTCTTTTCGCCGGATTTCTTCACCGGCAACCGAGCCCCTTTACTATCCTCCAATATAGGCGGCAGCGCCGGCCGCCAATGAGAAGCAGATTCCGACTTCGAACTCGTCACTCTCTCCAAACTCTGCTCCTGGTAGACGCGTCGCGCGTCCACTGCCCGGCGCAAACGAGATCCCAACTTTGAAAAGAGAGGCATAATCGCATAAAACAAAGGGAGAACAGGAAACTTGCAGATTTGCACAAGAAAGCGGCTGCGTTTCCTATTTATAGATAAACAAAGGGAATTTTAATTTTTTCTTTTTATTTTTAAATTGAGGGTTTTTTTTATGATTAGTTAAAAAAAAATACTCAAAATAATTAATAGTTATTACTCATATCAACAAATTAAAATATTACGTGCATTTGATCATGTACCAAATTTAGAATTTTAATTATAATCTAAAATTAGGCGTTTCGGACAGCATTGGTTCCCTTTTGGGGAGTGGATAAGGTGATCCGTTGCGTTTTCATAAAACAGTCTATTAAACTACAAAGTTTTAGGGAAGCCCATAGAATTGCTAAACTCCTTTTGGGTAATTATAGGTTTAAAGTTGTGGGCGCTACCAATATTGCAAAAATTGTTATTTACGCAACGTTCTTCGTTGTCTCCAATAGAAGTTTCTTCTTTCTGGACAAGGTCATGGTGGGCCCTACCTTGGGCTTCATACTTCACCGCCCACAACGAACGTTTTGGGCCCAGGCCCAATAATTTAACGTAGACCCACTGTTTAATTCCCCATATGGTAATATTGTAATTATTTTTCCAATTTGATCCATAAATTTTAAAATTTTAAACTATATATTTTATTTACGGTGGGTATATATAATGTCAGTTACCATATTTAAAATTTCTGATACGGAATTTGATTTTAAAGTAATTCGTTTTATAATTATTAAACTTGCACCTATCCAGCTTCTTCGCGTATATATATAAATTATTAAGTTTTTATTTTATTTTTTAATATTCAAAACTCGAGTTTTAAATAATAATTCATTTTTAGTAAAAAAAAAATGGAAATAGTGTTATTATTATTATTATTATTATTAATAAGTAGGAGGAGACAAAAAAAAAAAACGATTCCATTAGATTTTCATGATAGGTACAAAGAAACAATACCGTACTCAGGATTCTTTTTCATTTTTTAAAAAATAGCATTTAATAGTTTGTTTTTTTTTTCTATAATCAATATTCTTATATGGATTTATGCATATATAAAATGTTCATAAATTGGTATATATTCTTCCTTAAATAGTTTGAAAAAATCCAAATATTAAACAGAATATAGGTATTTTAACGTTGTGAAATATGGTACAAGCCTGTCCTTGTCCTCCTTATATTAAGTAGAGACAAAAGGGCTAAATATATCATTGTAATTAGAATAATTAAAAGATAGGCCCATATAATAATATGTGGTGTGTGAACTTTACAATGTTAATTATTAGCTCCATGCTCTCAATTCCTTAGGTTAAATTCAGCCATTAAATGACAAATATATCTCATGTCAACATTTTTTTATAAGAGTGTGAAAATCTCTTCCTAGCTGACACGTTTTAAAAATTTTGAAAGAAAGTCGAAAAGGAAAAACCCAAAGAGAACAATATATGCTAACGTCGGGCTTGTGCTATTACAAATGGTATTAGAGCCGGACACCAGGCGGCCCAAGCTTCCAAGGAGGGTGAATTTTGAGATCCCACATCAATTGGAGAGAAGAACGAAACATTTTTTTTTTATATATAAAGGTGTGGAAATCTCTCCCTAACATACGCGTTTTAAAAATCGTGAAGGAAAACTCGAAGAGGACAATGTCTGCTTGTGATTTTTCCTAGGAAACATGTGTGTAGACAAATCACGTTAAACGAACCCGTATTAGTCTGTGAATATAGTTTTTACTCTTAAATGTGAGAAGTAACGTGATCATGTCGCAATGGATACAGAAAAATATCGAGATCATCAAATACTGAATTAGAATTAAGAGTACGGTTATTCATTATAAACTCTAGGATCCCAAGAGTGTGAGAGTAGGGGAGTGAGTAGTGAAACATGCTAAATTGTCTTCTTATTTGTCGTGTCTTGTGTCTTCACATGGGACATAAAAGAACTTAAAGAATCCAAAAGGCAACCAAATTCATCTACGTATGTGGAAAGATGGGCATGAAAAGTAGCTATCAATAATACACAAAGGAAAAAAAAAAAGGTCTATAAACTAAATAAAAAGGCAAAACGTTAATTAAAATATTGCATATTTCGTTGTCTAAACACATTCCTTAAGCAAAAATTAGACAAAATAGTGGCCGGCTAAGACAGCTTCTTAACCTACTCTTTACCCTTTTATTCAATATGTTGGCCATATTATTATCCTATTTCAAAGAGATCCATGGTGAACTTGCACCAACTAAGTGTTAGTTTTTGTCAATAAATCAACTTACACTCGAGTGGCCTAAAATTCATATCAAAGGATATTGTTTTTTTTAGTTCAATAAGGTCGGGTCATAGAAATGACCCAAAGCTAATCCCAAAGAATAGTGCAACTTTATAGGCTCCTCTTGTCTAGATACTGGCAGCTGCATCTCCATTAATGATTCTCTCTTAAATAATTTATATCATTCCCTCTTCATTAACATTTGATGGATTATTCGACCTTTATATAATAAAATCATGCCTACTCCTATTAAACAAAAAAATCATTCGTAACGTATTTTAGGGGGAGACATGATGTCAGCTTTCCATCACTTTAGGTCTTGTGACATAAGCGAGCTACCATGTGACACATACGTGTGTCACAATATGGGTGAGTATTGCAAGACGAGCATCTCGAACAACTTCCTTTGAAATAGGTTTTTCAAAACACAACAATTTTAAGTATTAATAAGGGTTTGGTCCGACAATTTTTTTGTTGCGCATTTACACACCATAAAACATGTTAAAGAGAAATATGTATCCCCTAATCATTTTCATATTTTCTTATATATGCAAACCCACAAAGATGTTGTTAGACGAACACGACTCTCCACGCTGGTATGATATTGTCCACTTTTAGCATAAGCTCTCATGATTTTGCTTTGGACTTCTCCAAAAGATCTCATGCCAATGAAGAGAATATTCCTTGATTATAAACGCATGATCATTCTCTAAATTAGCAAAATATATAATCTTTTTCATATTTCCGAGAGGAAAAAAAAAATAACATTATCTACTACATGTCATCAACATGTAAGTAGTTGTATACATGTGGAAGCCATTATTGGTGAGAATAAATATGGATAATATTTATATACAGAAACCAAAAATTCCATCTTTTACAGAAAATATAAACCACTTCTTCTCTCTCTCTCTACAATCTGAGATGTTTATGTATGAAGTGTAATAATTATCCTTTTTACTGAAAAAATGAGGGCAGAATTGAAGGGGAAAACGAGTTCAATTTCAGTGCATAATTCAACGATTTTGAACACCCCTCATACTTCTCTTTCTGGTGCGCTAAAGGGGTGCCTTGGGAGCCTAGACGGTGGCTGTATTGAGAAGCTTCTGCTTCACTGCGCCGGTGCCCTCGAGAGCCACGATGTCACTCTTGCTCAGCAGGTTATGTGGGTTCTCAATAACGTCGCCTCCCCGGTTGGCGACCCTAACCAACGCCTCACTTGTTGGTTTTTGAGGGCTTTGATTTCTAGAGCCTCTAGGGTTTGTCCAACCCCGACTCCGACACCGATGAATTTTAATGGAAGAAGTGCCCGTATCGACACGAGGTTGATGTCAGTGACCGAGCTCGCCAGGTGAGATTCATACCACTGGAAACTTAAGTTACTTATCTGCTAGCGGTGTGATTGAGCTATTACAATTGAGCTATGTTGGTGGTAATATTAACTTTATGTTTTGGAATTTTCTTTAAACAGATACGTAGATTTGATTCCGTGGTATCGGTTCGGGTTTTGTGCAGCGAACATCGCAATTTACAAGGCAATTCAAAGGTGCCCCAAAGTTCACATATTAGATTTCAGCATTTCTCATTGCATGCAATGGCCAACCCTAATAGACGCCTTATCCAAAAGGCCACAAGGCCCTCCTTCACTTCGCATCAGTGTCCCATCTTTTAGGCCATCCGTTCCTCCTTTACTCAATATCTCCACACAACAAATTGGCCTTTGTTTAAGCAAATTCGCCAACTCCAAAAACATCCCATTTCAATTCAATGTCATTGATAACCACAATACTTCCATCGATCCTTCAAGTTTAAGCCTAGAAGAAGACGAGGCCTTGGTCATAAATTGTCAACATTGGCTAAGATACATGTTGAACGACGAAGAAGAAGAAGACGATTTTATTAACGCGACGAAAAGCCTCAACCCACGAATCATGGTGGTGGTTGATGAAGACTCCGACATGAGTGACTCGAGTCTCGCCTCGAGAATTACAACATGTTTTAACTATTTTTGGATACCCTTTGACGCGCTCGAGACTTTCTTGCCAAAAGATAGCGCGCAGAGGCTCGAGTATGAGGCCGACATCGGGCAACGAATCCAAAACATTATTGGCTTTGAAGGGCAACAAAGAGTTGAGAGATTGGAAAGTTGTGTGAAGGTTTCGGAGAGAATGAGGAATGGTGGGTACTTAAACGTACCGTTTTGTGATGACGTGGAAGCTGAGCTGAAGGCCTTGTTGGCAGAGCAGGCCAGTGGATGGGGGATGAAGAGGGAAGAAGATACGTTGGTGCTGACGTGGAAGGGCCACAATTCTGTGTTTGTCACAGCTTGGGTTACTGATGAGTTGGCTAGATGAAGCTGGTGTGACTCGAACATTTTGATTCTAGTTCTAGTTCTAGTGGTCAATTAATATGGTTAGCCACATTAGTGTAGCGGTTTTTTCTAATAAATTTATTTTTATTTTGGTGTCTAGCGTCTCTTAAATTTATAGAAACATAAATTTTACATAAAATTAGGTATATATAAAGTTTAAATCAAAACATAATTAATGTATTAATCTCACAAAATGAATTTTACTCTTTAAAATTGGGAGCAAGAGAATTTGAAAAAGTCAAAACTGATTGAAACAGAAGATAGGAAATCTGTGGTTGTGCAATTTAAAATTCAAATTGGTGGAGCAATGTCTGGGATTATGTGTGGCCGACGGTGGCTATGAAATGTCGCCGTCGTGGGGCGGCGGCGATTTCCAGGTTTCAGAAAGAAAAGAAAAAAAAAATGAATATCACGAATCGGATCCAATAAAATAAGACAATATCTACTGATTATACTGTTTATTCCCTGTGGACCTGCTAGATTGCCCATTCCTTGACTTTTTGTTTTGTAGGCTTATTATTATTATTAAAAAAATTCTTCTGTTAAACTGATATAAACGCAAAAAAGGAAGAAACCCTGTGGACCTGCTAGATTGCCCATTCCTTGACTTTTTGTTTTGTAGGCTTATTATTATTATTAAAAAAATTCTTCTGTTAAACTGATATAAACGCAAAAAAGGAAGAAAAAAGCGTCGACAGCAGGATTCGAACCTGCGCAGGCAAAGCCCAACAGATTTCGAGTCTGTCTCCTTAACCACTCGGACATATCGACTTTTGTTTCAACTTCGACAACTAAATATAAAACTACTATTAATTCATTTGGTTTTCTGCAAAAATCGTTTTTTTCTGGCTAGACACGATTCTGATCTTGCATTTGCATTCGGAAAAACACAAAATTATAATGGAAAACAAATGGTTAAACCCCTGAAATGTTGGGTTTTCCAGAATGAAATGTCTAACGAGAAAGCCACTAAGCAAAGACAAGACAATAAAGTTTTGAACTTTTAGTGGTTTCAAAAGATTATTATAAATGGTTACATTGTAATAATACAAAAATCATGAAGAATAAAATTTATCTTTTGCAGGAATGTCAGATTGAGTTTCTAATTCCTCCTTTGTGTCCCCTCTTTTTGGCATTGGCATCGCCCATCGAGGAACTGTTTGACGTACCCTGTTCTCCTGTCTCGCTAAAAAAACAAATATTCTTCTTGTTGGCTAATGCCTATCAACGACGCCATTTCAAACCCTCATTCATATTCTTCTTGTTCCCAGCTTTGTTGATGCAATTCTCAGAAACCCCACTTCATTTTTGCTCTTCTTCCTCCATTGACCTTGTCTACGTGCCCCTTTCCGCCAGTGTTCATGTGGGTCATGCCCACATCTCCTTGTTCTTCTACTTCAGGAGGTTTCTTCTCGTGACCATTCATTTCCTCTTCTTCATTTAATGCTTTTTGTCTTCCAATTCAATCAACTAAGCCACTGCCTTCTGATGGGTATCATGGGGCATTCATTGATTTTCTTTGCTTAGATGATTAAGGGACATGTTTCTTCGTAATTTGCCTTGCCATTTATTGCTTTCAACGACCATTCATACTTCTCTTTCTGCTTTGCTGTATATACTTCACACTTCCACCTCCACTTTTTTGTTGCTCTCAATTTATTGTGTTCATTGTTTATTTATTTCATTCTATGTTTGTAATAAAGTTACATTAGAGAAGAACTTTTCCCCCTTTTGGGTCGCCTTTTCTTTTGATTTCCTTATCTTCTCTTCACGACCAGTGTAATGTTTCTTTGTTTCTATGCAACTTTAAGGCACTGTACTTTCTTTCTCTCCTTCTTGTTCTTCGCTTCTGAACTTGTTTGTTACATTAATGCTTCGTATTCAGACTGATTGAGCTGCAGAAATCATGGAAAAGGCTACACAATTCGTTGATCTTGTAAAAACCCAGAAATCTTTTGAGGAGATCAAGTGCTGGACATGGTCAGAGCTTCTGATTGCTTTGAAGCAATGTCAAGAATCATTAGCAAACTCATCAACTGTGCTGAAAAAATGCATGGATTTGCTTTGCCAAAAGATCAGTTTGGCTGATAATGGAGCAAGTTCATCTGCTTCATCTGTTAATAGTTCAAGATTTCGTTTATCTTGTGATAGCAAAAGCACTGAAAGCTTAAAGACAAATTCTGCTTCCACAACTTGGTGGTTTGATGATCTATTGGTTTTCACCACTGAATCTCTTGAAATCTTTGTTCAATCCATGATCTTGCACGAGTTCGACCAAATTCTTCTAAGCAAATTCCTCGTTCATTTCCAGAAATCCAAGTTCCTTACTGCAGCTACTGATGAAAAGAGGAAAGTAATCGAGTCTGTCGTTGATATGCTCGACACGCTCGATGAAAACGTGCTGTCTTTGAAGGCGTTATTCGACATTCTACGAGTTTCCTTAAGCTTGAACATAAATAAAGACAGCAAGAATAGGTTGGAGGCCATGATTGGTTCAAGGTTGAGTCATGCTACATTGGACAATTTGCTTGTTCCTTCCCCATGTGGAGCAAACTACCTATATGATGTCAAACTTGTTCTTAGACTGTTCAAGGCATTTTTATCAGGAGGACTCAATCAAGCATCTCAATTAAGTAAAGCTGCTAATTTGATGGACTTATACATGGCTGAGGTCGCACCCGATCCGTGTCTTAAGTCGTCGAGGTTCCTCGCTCTTGCATTAGCCGTTCCTGACTCGGCCAGGAAGTCCTATGATGAAATGTACCATGCCATAGATCTGTACTTTGAGGTATTCACTCAGCTCATGTACTTTGTTTAAATTTGTAGCTTAGAACTAAAGTTGTTTAGTTTTGGTAGATGCATGCAGGAATGACAGAAGAGGAGAAGGAGAAAATAAGCTGTGCATTGAACCACAAGAAGCTCTCCTATGAAGTTGGTATTCATTTCTCTAAGAACACGAAATTCCGATCGAGATCAACTCGGTCGATACCCGAAAGTCCGAAACCAGAGACGGAAGGCTTACTTGAAAACATAAACTACTCAAAATCTCTGATAAACTGGCCTCATAATCTCACAAAAGAAGAGCAATCTTCAGAACAAATTGTGCTGTATCATGGGAAGTTTGATGTTGTTCCTGCTGATAACGAGAGATTCAAAGTTCAATTGGAGGGAATGCAATGGAGAGTGGTGGAATTGGAGAAGCTGTGTAGAAAAATGCAGACCCAAATGAGAAAGATTTTGAAGTCTCGAGTGGCTTCGAGTCATTGTCAAGTTAAATCATTGCCTAAGCTATGTTCATAGTGATATCTGTGCTCTGTTCTTCTGCTGCTTCTTACAGCTTTCTCTGTGTGTTTAGCAGATTGAGTTTGGTTGTAAAGTTAGAACAACAACAAGAACAAGGAAGGTGACGATGGGTTTATCCACAAACCCAATTATTCTCGTGAATTATTGCGCAAAGTTATGGTGTGAACGAGATTGAAAGCTGATGGTCGAGTCTTTTTCGATGTCACTCTCGTTTTGAGGCCTCTTTTTATTGAAAGTTGCAACTTGACAAAAGCTACGCTACAATGCATCAAAATTGTAATAGCTTTAAACCGAGATATGTTACGTATCGTCGTCAGTCTCACGATTTTAAAACACGTTTACTAGGAAAAGGTTTTCACACCCTTATAACGAATATTTTGTTCCCCTCTCCAACCGATGTGAGATCTCACGATCCACCCCCTTGAAGTCCAACGTCCTCTTTGGCACATTGCTCGTTCTCTTTTCTAACTGATGTGGGATCTCACAATCTACTTCCTTAGGGGCCCAACATCCTCGTTGGCACATTGCCCGGTATTTGGCTAAAACCCACACTTAACAAATATTGTTCGATTTAGTCTGTTATGTATCACTGTCAATCTCACAGTTTTAAAATACGTTTCCTAAGGAGATATTTCTACACTCTTATAAAGAATGTTTCGTTCTCCTTTCCAACCGAGTTAGGATCTCCCAAAAATATATAAAAAAGGGTTTTAATTATTTATTTATTTCTAGAATTCTAAGAGAAATGCAAGTCTTTAGAAAAAAAAATGGTAAAAACACAAACCTAAATATTAAAAATGGAAAAATAAGAAGAAAATGCTAATTTTAATTTTATATTTTAGTAACGGGCCTAACGGCTATCTAAATAGATAATAAATGCTAATTATTAGCGGTAGCGGCGCAAAATCAACGGACATATTTCGTTGTGCAGCTCCCTCGTGGCCAAGGCATCTGGAGTGGCTCGCTTTATGACTTTCCCGCTAGAATCAGAGCGCTCCATCAACGGCCTCTTTTCTCTCGAGTGTTCGTTGCCGAAATCAAACGCTAGATCATTACCAGGCAATCGGAAGAAGAGAGAGAGAGAAGAATCGAAAGAAGTTTCTTGACTCGTCTCGGTGATGAAAAATAGAGGTAATGTACGGCTGGCTATTCTGTTCGTCACGGGATTCGCATTCGTTCCACTCGAGCCTAGTTCTCAGTCCAATGGAGTCCTCCCCTCATTCGCACTCTGTTTTCTGTTGGCAGGGCATTTTCTTCGACAAGTTCATGATCCAAGCGGGGGCGGATTTTTCAGAAGTGGCGACTGATCTGGCGATGATGAATGCGACGGTGAAGTTCATATTTCGAAATACGGCCTCGTTTTTCGGCGTTCATGTCACTTCCACTCCGCTTCGGCTTTCGTATTCTCAGCTCACACTTGCCTCTGGAACTGTATGTAATCGCTATCCTAAACTCTTTGATTAAGCATAGGTAGTTCGATCTTGACTATTCTGTCCTGGGTTTGAAATTTTAAGTGTACGGCTGGCTATTCCGATTTAGGGGTTTCTTGGAGAACTTCAGAGGTTAATCAAGGGATTTTTCGTTTTTATCGACACTTTCTGTATCTTTCGTGGTTTCGATTACGGAGGATTAGGGCGTTTTTAGTAGGTTCATTGCTCCTATGGTTACGTGATTATTATCTTGGACTCTTCGTTTCATTCTCCGTCATCTTCTATCTGTTCTTGGTGTGAGGAGCCAAGGGACAAACCTGATATTAAAATTTATGTGTTGGCAGAAGAGAGCAGGACGATGAACTCTTATGTCAGTGAGATCTGTTCCAGTAACAGAGAGGGGAAGAACAATGCAGTTGCTCTTGATGAAGTGATTGCTTGGACAACAGAAAAGCAGTTGGTCTTGTCATTGAGGCCGGTTGGATTTTCGCATCTGCTAGGAATACTGGTATGATTCCAAGCCCAAGCCTGTGAAGTTGAATTTAAGTTTTCGGGGGGCGTGGGAAGTAATTGTTGTTTTGAAGTTTTATTTTATTTTATTTTATGTATTATTTGTTGGCTGTGAAGTTGTGTAGTGTAGCTTTAGCTTCTTTAGATGTTACCTCTGTTTGGATTATGTCAAGTAAGAAGGGGTCACAAAATATTGCTTGAAACATGTCTGGCAATGCTACTAATTCTCAGGTTTCAGCTGGCAACAAGGATGTTGACCTACCAACTAGATAAGAAAAATGGAAAGCCAAGCTAAAAATGTTTTACCACAGCATTTGGAAGGCTTCCTCTCCCTTTTGTGTACATTTCATTACTTCAATTAAACTCAGTTTCTCTTCCCCCTCCCAAAAACATCCTCTGATTAAGTTATATGACATGATAACATCCTCTGATTAAGTTATCAAGTGTGATAGATGCAGATTCTTCCATAGACAAATGTTTTACCAATTTGAACAATATTCAGTTTTCGCTGTTTTATATTTTCAATGTGTGAATTAGCCCTACAAAATGAAGGACAAATTTTGTTTTATTTTCTATTAAGTTTACGAGTTAAAACTTTTTGACATTTTCTGTACCTTATTATTTCTTTTAAAGGTAGAAGAAAGAGTTTGATCAGCTGAAGAGGAAAATGGCAAAGTCTAAGAGAGAATTTGGTCTGCTGGAGAGGAAAAGGTAGAGTCTAAAACTGATACAAGCATCTGATGTGAGTGAATTTAAAACGATGAAATTTCCAGAAAGTATGTTTTATTTTGTTGCTTAAGAATTTTTTGTCTCTTACTAGCTTTGCTTCATTGGAAATTATATGACTGCAAGTCACCTAACAAGGTGCAAAAATGTTTGAATGAGATTTGGCAATTGAATAACACTAGAAATTATTCACGATCAACCATGTTGATTTTATGCATATGCAATAAAATGATTTAATTCTTGATGAAAAATTTTCAAAGTTGATATTTGGGGCTTATTTAACTATGTGCACAAAAATTATAGATAGGCATACCAAGTTTGGCTAATGCAAATATTATCTAAGATTATTCCTAAGACAAGCTAGAATCAGTGGGTTAAACTTCTACAAAAAAAAAAAAAAAAAACGGTTAATGTTCACTCACTATGGTTTCAAATTATCCATATCTCATTGGTTTGGCATTATTGCTCGTATTTCCTTTGCTAATGGAGAAGATTTTGATTGGTAACTATGTTGTGAAAATTTCAGATGGAGGTGGAGAACATCGATGGAGATAATAAAGATGAGGGCATTCTACAAGGTATCCAACTCCGGTTGCTACTTTCAACACTCCTTCACGTAAGAAATTTTCTATTTGACATCATGAACTACCATATGTGCAACCTAGTTCTCACAGGAATTACTTTTTTGGCAATGTTGTGGCTCTAATAAGGTTAGTTTCCTATTTTTACTTTTTATTATATCTTTTTTTTTTCTTTTCTTTTCTGATGTTCCTGGTGCTCTACTGGTATCATGTTTTTTGTTTCAAGAGTAAATGGTTAAACTACAACAAAGAATTGTAATGAATGTTAAAGTTGAAAGAGGTTCATGAGTAAAGAATTAAATGACATCTTTTGTTTTATGAGTGTTTTAGGTAGTTCGGAATAGTTTTTTTAAAAGAAAAATGAAGCTTTCATTGAGATCAAATGAACGATTACAAGAGGAACACACAAAAAAAAAAAAAAAAAAACCATCCAAAAAGGAGACCAGTTGACCTAATTTTAGTTTGTTAATGGATAATCTTTTGGATACTTTTAGTTTGTTAATGGATAATCTTTTGGATACTTTTAGTTTGTGATGGTTATGTAAGCAAGGAAGGAAGGAAGATAAGTTTGGATAAGAGAATTATGGGTAAAAGTATGAGAATGGTGGATAACGGCCTATTCAAAAGGTTAAGAACCCAAAATGGAAGTTTGTTCAAATTGGAGATTCGAAAAGCTTATTTTGGAACCAAGAATTAGGATGTCATATGCCATGAGAAGTAGGAAAAAATTTATATCAAGGATATGGAAAAGTGAAGAATTGTTGGAATCAAGGAATAAGGGATTTCAAAAGAAAGTTTGTGGAATTTTAGAGGAAGGAAACACTCGAATAAAAGGATTTGCTTAATTGGTTGGTGATAAGGAAAAGTTACCTTCTATTTGGTCTATAAGTTCGTTAATGGACAATCTTTTGGATATTTTTAGTTTGGGATGGTTATGTATGTAAGGAAGGAAGGAAGATAAGTTTGGATAAGACAATTGTGGGTAAAAGTATGAGAACGGTGGATAAAGGATTATTCAAAATGTTAGAACCGAAAATGGAAGTTTGTTGAAATTGGAGATTCGAAAAGCTTATTTTGGAACCAAGAAATAGGATGTCATATGCCATGAGAAGTAGGAAAGAATTTATATCAAGGATATGGAAAAGTTAAGAATTGTTGGAATCAAGGAATAAGGGATCTCAAAAGAAAGTTTGTGAAATTTTAGAAGGAAGCACTCGAATAAAAGAATTTGCTTAATTGGTTGGTGATAAGGAAAAGTTAAATTGTATTTGGTCTATAAGTTCGTTAATGGTTATGATGGTTATGTATGCAAGGAAGGAAGATAAGTTTCGATAAGAGAATTGTTGGTAAAAGTATGAGAATGGTGGATAAAGGACTATTCAAAATGTTAGAACCGAAAATGGAAGTTTGTTCAAATTAGAGATTCCAAAAGCTTATTTTGGAACCTAGAAATAGGATGTCATATGCCATGAGAAGTAGGAAAGAATTTATATCAAGGATATGGAAAAGTGAAGAGTTGTTGGAATCAAAGAATAAGGGATCTCTGAAGAAAGATTGTGGAATTTTAGAGGAAGGAAGCACTCGAATAAAAGGATTTGCTTAATTGGTTGGTGATATGGGAAAGTTAAATTCGATTTGGTCTATAAGTTTGCTAATGGACAATCTTTTGGATATTTTTAGTTTGTGATAGTTATGTATGTGAGGAAGGAAGGAAGATAAGTTTGGATAAGATTATTGTGGGTAAAAGTATGAGAATGGTGGATATAGGACTACTCAAAAGGTTAAGAACCGAAAATGAAAGTTTGTTCAAATTGGAAATTCGAAAAGCTTATTTTGGAACCTAAAAATAGGATGTCATATGCCATGAGAAGTAGGAAAGAATTTATATCAAGGATAAGGAAAAGTGAAGAATTGTTGGAATCAAGAAATAAGGGATCTCAAAAGAAAATTTGTGGAATTTTAATGGAAGGAAGCACTCGAATAAAAGGATTTGCTTAATTGATTGGTGATAAGGAAAAGTTAAATTCTATTTGGTCTATAGGTTCGTTAATGCACAATCTTTTGGATATTTTTAGTTTGTAATGGTTATGTATGCAAGGAAGCAAGGAAGATAAGTTTGGATAAGAGAATTGTGCGTAAAAGTATGAGAATGGTGGATATAGGACTATTCAAAAGGTTAAGAACCGAAAATGGAAGTTTGTTCAAATTGGAGATTCGAAAAGCTTATTTTGGAACCAAGAAATAGGAAATCATATGCCATGAGAAGTAGGAAAGAATCAATATCAAGAATATGGAAAAGTGAAGAATTGTTGAAATCAAGGAATAAGGGATTTCAAAAGAAAGTTTGTGGAATTTTAGAGGAAGGAATACTCGAATAAAAGGATTTGCTTAATTGGTTGGTGATAAGGAAAAGTTAAATTCTATTTGGTCTATAAGTTCAATAATGCACAATCTTTTGTATATTTTTAGTTTGTAATTGTTATGTATGCAAGGAAGCAAGGAAGATAAGTTTGGATAAGAGAATTGTGCGTAAAAGTATGAGAATGGTGGATATAGGACTATTCAATAGGTTAAGAACTGAAAATGGAAGTTTGTTCAAATTGGAGATTCGAAAAGCTTATTTTGGAAACAAGAAATAGGATGTCATATGCCATGAGAAGTAGGAAAGAATTTATATCAAGGATATGGAAAAGTTAAGAATTGTTGGAATCAAGGAATAAGGGATCTCAAAAGAAAGTTTGTGAAATTTTAGAAGGAAGCACTCGAATAAAAGAATTTGCTTAATTGGTTGGTGATAAGGAAAAGTTAAATTGTATTTGGTCTATAAGTTCGTTAATGAACAATCTTTTGGATATTTTTAGTTTGTGATGGTTATGTATGCAAGAAAGGAAGGAAGATAAGTTTGGCTAAGAGAATTGTGGGTAAAAGTATGAAAATGGTGGATATAGGACTATTCAAAAGGTTAAGAACCGAAAATGAAAGTTTATTCAAATTGGAGATTCGAAAAGTTTATTTTGGAACCAAGAAATAGGACGTCATATGCCATGAGAAGTAGGAAAGAATTTATATAAAGGATATAGAAAAATGAAGAATTGTTGGAATCAAGGAAAAAGGGCTCTCAAAAAAAAGTTTTTGGAATTTTAGAGAAAGGAAACACTTGAATAAAAGGATTTGCTTAATTGGTTGGTGATAAGGAAAAGTTAAATTCTATTTGGTCTATAAGTTCGTTAATGCACAATCTTTTGGATAGTTTTAGTTTGTGATTGTTATGTATGCAAGGAAGGAAGATAAGTTTGGATAAGAGAATTGTGGGTAAAAGTATGGGAATGGTGGATAAAGGACTATTCAAAAGGTTAAGAACCGAAAATGGAAGTTTGTTCAAATTGGAGATTCGAAAAGCTTATTTTGGAATCAAGAAATAGGAAGTCATATGCCATGAGAAGTAGAAAAGAATTTATATCAAGGAAAAGGAAAAGTGAAGAATTGTTGGAATCAAGGAATAAGGGATCTCAAAAGAAAGTTTGTGGAATTTTAGAGGAAGGAAGCACTCGAATAAAAGGATTTGCTTAATTGGTTGGTGATAAGGAAAAGTTAAATTCTATTTGGTCTATAAGTTCGTTAATGAACAATCTTTTGGATATTTTTAGTTTGTTATGGTTATGTATGCAAGGAAGCAAGGAAGATAAGTGTGGATAAGAGAATTGTGCGTAAAAGTATGAGAATGGTGGATATAGGACTATTCAAAAGGTTAAGAACTGAAAATGGAAGATTGTTGAAATTGGAGATTCGAAAAGCTTATTTTGAAACCAAGAAATAGGATGTCATATGACATGAGAAGTAGGAAAGAATTTATATCAAGGAAAAGGAAAAGTGAAGAATTGTTGGAATCAAGGAATAAGGGATCTCAAAAGAAAGTTTGTGGAATTTTAGAGGAAGGAAGCACTCGAATAAAAGGATTTGCTTAATTGGTTGGTGATAAGGAAAAGTTAAATTCTATTTGGTCTATAAGTTCGTTAATGAACAATCTTTTGGATATTTTTAGTTTGTTATGGTTATGTATGCAAGGAAGCAAGGAAGATAAGTGTGGATAAGAGAATTGTGCGTAAAAGTATGAGAATGGTGGATATAGGACTATTCAAAAGGTTAAGAACTGAAAATGGAAGATTGTTGAAATTGGAGATTCGAAAAGCTTATTTTGAAACCAAGAAATAGGATGTCATATGACATGAGAAGTAGGAAAGAATTTATATCAAGGAAAAGGAAAAGTGAAGAATTGTTGGAATCAAGGAATAAGGGATCTCAAAAGAAAGTTTGTGGAATTTTAGAGGAAGGAAGCACTCGAATAAAAGGATTTGCTTAATTTGTTGGTGATAAGGAAAAGTTAAATTCTATTTGGTCTATAAGTTCGTTAATGCACAATCTAATTGATATTTTTAGTTTGTGATGGTTAGGTATGCAAGGAAGGAAGGAAGATAAGTTTGGATAAGAGAATTGTGCGTAAAAGTATGAGAATGGTGGATATAGGACTATTCAAAAGGTTAAGAACCGAAAATGGAAGATTGTTGAAATTGGAGATTCGAAAAGCTTATTTTGGAACAAAGAAATAGGATGTCATATGCCATGAGAAGTAGGAAAGAATTTATATCAAGGAAATGGAAAAGTGAAGAATTGTTGGAATCAAGGAATAAGGGATCTCAAAAGAAAGTTTGTGGAATTTTAGAGGAAGGAAGCCCTCGAATAAAAGGATTTGCTTAATTGGTTGGTGATAAGGAAAAGTTAAATTCTATTTGGTCTATCATTAATGGACAATCTTTTGGATATTTTTAGTTTGTGATGGTTATGTATGTAAGGAAGGAAGAAAGATAAGTTTGGATAAGATTATTGTGGGTGAAAGTATGATAATGGTGGATATAGGACTATTCAAAAGGTTAAGAACCGAAAATGGAAGATTGTTGAAATTGGAGATTCGAAAAGCTTATTTTGGAACCTAAAAATAGGATGTCATATGGCATGAGAAGTAGGAAAGAATTTATATCAAGGATATGGAAAAGTGAAGAATTGTTGGAATCAAGGAATAAGGGATCTCAAAAGAAAGTTTGTGGAATTTTAGAGGAAGGAAGCACTCGAATAAAAGGATTTGCTTAATTGGTTGGTGAAAGGAAAAGTTAAATTCGATTTGGTCTATATGTTCGTTAATGTACAATCTTTTGGATATTTTTAGTTTGTGATGGTTATATATGTAAGGAAGGAAGAAAAATAAGTTTGGATAAGATTATTGTGGGTAAAAGTATGAGAATGGTAGATATAGGACTATTCAAAAGGTTAAGAACGGAAAATGGAAGTTTGTTCAAATTGGAGATTCCAAAAGCTTATTTTGGAACCTAGAAATAGGATGTCATATGCCATGAGAAGTAGGAAAGAATTTATATCAAGGATATGGAAAAGTGAAGAGTTGTTGGAATCAAAGAATAAGGGATCTCTGAAGAAAGATTGTGGAATTTTAGAGGAAGGAAGCACTCGAATAAAAGGATTTGCTTAATTGGTTGGTGATATGGGAAAGTTAAATTCGATTTGGTCTAAAGTTCGCTAATGCACAATGTTTTGAATATTTTTAATTTGTAATGGTTATGTATGCAAGAAAGCAAGGAAGATAAGTTTGGATAAGAGAATTGTGCGTAAAAGTATGAGAATGGTGGATATAAGACTATTTCAAAAGGTTAAGAATTGAAAATGGAAGACTGTTGAAAGTGGAGATTCGAAAAGCTTATTTTGGAACCAAGAAATAAGATGTCATATGGCATGAGAAGTAGGAAAGAATTTATATCAAGGAAAAGGAAAAGTGAAGAATTGTTGGAATCAAGGAATAAGGAATCTCAAAAGAAAGTTTGTGGAATTTTAGAGGAACAAAGCACTCGAATAAAAGGATCTGCTTAATTGGTTGATGATAAGGAAAAGTTAAATTCTATTTGGTCTATAAGTTCGTTAATGCACAATCTTTTGGATATTTTTAGTTTGTGATTGTTATGTATGCAAGGAAGGAAGATAAGTTTGGATAAGAGAATTGTGGGTAAAAGTATGAGAATAGTGGATATAGGACTATTCAAAAAGTTAAGAACCGAAAATGGAAGATTGTTGAAATTGGAGATTCGAAAAGCTTATTTTGGAACCAAGAAATATGATGTCATATGCCATGAGAAGTAGGAAAGAATTTATATCAAGGATATGGAAAAGGGAAGAGTTGTTGGAATCAAGGAATGAGGGATCTCTGAAGAAAGATTGTGGAATTTTAGAGGAAGGAAGCACTCGAATTAAAAGATTTGCTGAATTGGTTTGTGATATGGAAAAGTAAAATTCGATTTGGTCTATAAGTTCGCTAATGGACAATCTTTTGGATATTTTAGTTTGTGATTGTTATGTATGTAAGGAAGGAAGATAAGTTTGGATAAGATTATTGTGGGTAAAAGTATTAGAATGTTGGATATAGGACTATTGAAAAGGTGAAGAACCGAAAATGGAAGTTTGTTCAAATTGGGGATTCGAAAAGCTTATTTTGGAACCAAGAAATAGGATGTCATATGCCATGAGAAGTAGGAAAGAATTTACATCAAGGATATAGAAAAGTGAAGAAGTGTTGAAATCAAGGAATAAGGGATCTCAAAAGATAGTTTGTGGAATTTTAGAGGAAGGAAGCACTCGAATAAAAGGATTTGCTTAATTGGTTGGTGATAAGGAAAACTTAAATTCTATTTGGTCTATAATTTCATTACTGCACATCTTTGGATATTTTTAGTTTGTGATGGTTATGTATGTAAGGAAGGAAGAAAGAGAAGTTTGGATAAGATTATTGTGGGTAAAATTATGAGAATGGTGGATCGGACTATTCAAAAGGTTAAGAACCGAAAATGAAAGTTTGTTCAAATTTGAGATTCGAAAAGCTTATTTTGGAACCAAGAAATACGACGTCATATGGCATGAGAAGTAGGAAAGAATTTATATCAAGTATATCGAAAACTGAAGAATTGTTGTAATCAAGGAATAAGGGATCTCAAAAAAAAGTTTTTGGAATTTGTGAGGAAGGAAGCACTCGAATAAAAGGATATGCTTAATTAGTTGGTGATAAGGAAAAGTTAAATTCTATTTGGTCTATAAGTTCGTTAATGCACAATCTTTTGGATATTTTTAGTTTGTGATGGTTATGTATGCCAGGAAGGAAGGAAGATAAGTTTGGATAAGAGAATTGTGGGTAAAAGTATGAGAATGGTGGATAAAGGACTATTCAAAAGGTTAAGAACCGAAAATGGAAGTTGTTCAAATTGGAGATTCGAAAAGCTTATTTGGGAACCTAGAAATAGGATGTTATATACCATGAGAAGTAGGAAAGAATTTATATCAAGGATATAGAAAAGTGAAGAATTGATGGAATCAAGGAATAAGGGATCTCAAAAAAAAGTTTTTGGAATTTTAGAGGAAGGTAGCACTCGAATAAATGGATCTTCTTAATTGGTTGGTGATAAGGAGAAGTTAAATTCTATTTGGTCTATAAGTTCGTTAATGCACAATCTTTTTAATTTGTGATGGTTATGTATGCAAGGAAGGAAGATAAGTTTGGATAAGAGAATTGTACGTAAAAGTATGAGAATGGTGGATATAGGACTATTTAAAAGATTAAGAACCGAAAATGGAAGTTGTTCAAATTGGAGATTCGAAAAGCTTATTTGGGAACCTAGAAATAGGATGTCATATGCCATGAGAAGTAGGAAAGAATTTATATCAAGGATATAGAAAAGTGAAGAATTGATGGAATCAAGGAATAAGGGATCTCAAAAAAAAGTTTTTGGAATTTTAGAGGAAGGTAGCACTCGAATAAATGGATCTTCTTAATTGGTTGGTGATAAGGAGAAGTTAAATTCTATTTGGTCTATAAGTTCGTTAATGCACAATCTTTTTAATTTGTGATGGTTATGTATGCAAGGAAGGAAGATAAGTTTGGATAAGAGAATTGTACGTAAAAGTATGAGAATGGTGGATATAGGACTATTCAAAAGGTTAAGAACCGAAAATGGAAGTTGTTCAAATTGGAGATTCGAAAAGCTTATTTGGGAACCTAGAAATAGGATGTCATATGCCATGAGAAGTAGGAAAGAATTTATATCAAGGATATAGAAAAGTGAAGAATTTTTTGAATCACGGAATAAAGGATCTCAAAATAAAGTTTGTGGAATTTTAGATGAAGGAAGCACTCTAATAAAAGGATTTGCTTAATTGGTTGGTGATAAGGAAAAGTTAAATTCTATTTGGTCTATAAGTTCGTTAATGCACAATCTTTTGGATATTTTTAGTTTGTGATGGTTAGGTATGTAAGGATGGAAGGAAAAAGTATGAGAATGGTGGATAAAGGACTATTCAAAAGGTTAAGAACCGAAAATGGAAGTTGTTCAAATTGGAGATTCGAAAAGCTTATTTGGGAACCTAGAAATAGGATGTCATATTTAAGAACCGAGAATGGTGGGTAAAAGTATGAGAATGGTGGATAAAGGACTATTCAAAAGGTTAAGAACCGAAAATGGAAGTTGTTCAAATTGGAGATTCGAAAAGCTTATTTGGGAACCTAGAAATAGGATGTCATATTTAAGAACCGAGAATGGTGGGTAAAAGTATGAGAATGGTGGATAAAGGACTATTCAAAAGGTTAAGAACCGAAAATGGAAGTTGTTCAAATTGGAGATTCGAAAAGCTTATTTGGGAACCTAGAAATAGGATGTCATATGCCATGAGAAGTAGGAAAGAATTTATATCAAGGATATAGAAAAGTGAAGAATTGATGGAATCAAGGAACCATGAGAAGTAGGAAAGAATTTATATCAAGGATATAGAAAAGTGAAGAATTGATGGAATCAAGGAATAAGGAGAAGTAGGAAAGAATTTATATCAAGGATATAGAAAAGTGAAGAATTGATGGAATCAAGGAATAAGGGATCTCAAAAAAAAGTTTTTGGAATTTTAGAGGAAGGTAGCACTCGAATAAATGGATCTGCTTAATTGGTTGGTGATAAGGAGAAGTTAAATTCTATTTGGTCTATAAGTTCGTTAATGCACAATCTTTTTAGTTTGTGATGGTTATGTATGCAAGGAAGGAAGATAAGTTTGGATAAGAGAATTGTACGTAAAAGTATGAGAATGGTGGATATAGGACTATTTAAAAGGTTAAGAACCGAAAATGGAAGTTGTTCAAATTGGAGATTCGAAAAGCTTATTTGGGAACCTAGAAATAGAATGTCATATGCCATGAGAAGTAGGAAAGAATTTATATCAAGGATATAGAAAAGTGAAGAATTTTTTGAATCAAGGAATAAAGGATCTCAAAAAAAAGTTTGTGGAATTTTAGATGAAGGAAGCACTCTAATAAAAGGATTTGCTTAATTGGTTGGTGATAAGGAAAAGTTAAATTCTATTTGGTCTATAAGTTCGTTAATGCACAATCTTTTGGATATTTTTAGTTTGTGATGGTTAGGTATGTAAGGATGGAAGGAAAAAGTATGAGAATGGTGGATAAAGGACTATTCAAAAGGTTAAGAACCGAAAATGGAAGTTGTTCAAATTGGAGATTCGAAAAGCTTATTTGGGAACCTAGAAATAGGATGTCATATGCCATGAGAAGTAGGAAAGAATTTATATCAAGGATATAGAAAAGTGAAGAATTGATGGAATCAAGGAATAAGGGATCTCAAAAAAAAGTTTTTGGAATTTTAGAGGAAGGTAGCACTCGAATAAATGGATCTGCTTAATTGGTTGGTGATAAGGAGAAGTTAAATTCTATTTGGTCTATAAGTTCGTTAATGCACAATCTTTTTAGTTTGTGATGGTTATGTATGCAAGGAAGGAAGATAAGTTTGGATAAGAGAATTGTACGTAAAAGTATGAGAATGGTGGATATAGGACTATTTAAAAGGTTAAGAACCGAAAATGGAAGTTGTTCAAATTGGAGATTCGAAAAGCTTATTTGGGAACCTAGAAATAGAATGTCATATGCCATGAGAAGTAGGAAAGAATTTATATCAAGGATATAGAAAAGTGAAGAATTTTTTGAATCACGGAATAAAGGATCTCAAAATAAAGTTTGTGGAATTTTAGATGAAGGAAGCACTCTAATAAAAGGATTTGCTTAATTGGTTGGTGATAAGGAAAAGTTAAATTCTATTTGGTCTATAAGTTCGTTAATGCACAATCTTTTGGATATTTTTAGTTTGTGATGGTTAGGTATGCAAGGATGGTAGGAAAATAAGTTTGGATAAGAGAATTGTGCGTAAAAGTATGAGAATGGTGGATATAGGACTATTCAAAAGGTTAAGAACCGAAAATGGAAGATTGTTGAAATTGGTGATTCGAAAAGCTTATTTTGGTACCAAGAAATAGGATGTCATATGCCATGAGAAGTAGGAAAGAATTTATATCAAGGAAAAGTGAAGAATTGTTGGAATCAAGGAATAAGGGATCTCAAAAAAAAGTTTGTGGCATTTTAGAGGAAGGAAGCCCACGAATAAAAGGATTTGCTTAATTGGTTGGTGATAAGGAAAAGTTAAATTCTATTTGGTCTATCAGTTCGTTAATGGACAATCTTTTGGATATTTTTAGTTTGTGATGGTTATTTTGTAAGGAAGGAAGAAAGATAAGTTTGGATAAGATTATTGTGGGTAAAAGTATGATAATGGTGGATATAGGACTATTCAAAAGGTTAAGAACCGAAAATGGAAGATTGTTGAAATTGGTGATTCGAAAAGCTTATTTTGGTACCAAGAAATAGGATGTCATATGCCATGAGAAGTAGGAAAGAATTTATATCAAGGAAAAGTGAAGAATTGTTGGAATCAAGGAATAAGGGATCTCAAAAAAAAGTTTGTGGCATTTTAGAGGAAGGAAGCCCTCGAATAAAAGGATTTGCTTAATTGGTTGGTGATAAGGAAAAGTTAAATTCTATTTGGTCTATCAGTTCGTTAATGGACAATCTTTTGGATATTTTTAGTTTGTGATGGTTATGTTGTAAGGAAGGAAGAAAGATAAGTTTGGATAAGATTATTGTGGGTAAAAGTATGATAATGGTGGATATAGGACTATTCAAAAGGTTAAGAACCGAAAATGGAAGTTTGTTCAAATTGGAGATTCGAAAAGCTTATTTTGGAACCAAGAAATAGGATGTCATATGGCATGAGAAGTAGGAAAGAATTTATATCAAGGAAAAGGAAAAGGAAAAGTGAAGAATTGTTGGAATCAAGGAATAAGGGATCTCAAAAAAAAGTTTTTGGAGTTATAGACGAAGGAACACTCGAATAAAAGGATTTGCTTAATTTGTTGGTGATAAGGAAAAGTTAAATTCTATTTGGTTTATAAGTTTGTTAATCCACAATCTAATTGATATTTTTAGTTTGTGATGGTTATGTATGCAAGTTAGGAAGGAAGATAAGTTTGGATAAGAGAATTGTGCGTAAAAGTACGAGAGTGGTGGATATAGGACTATTCAAAAGGTTAAGAACCGAAAATGGAAGTTTATTCAAATTGGAGATTCGAAAGCTTATTCTGGAACCAAGAAATAGGATGTCATATGGCATGAGAAGTAGGAAAGAATTTATATCAAGGAAAAGGAAAAGTGAATAATTGTTGGAATCAAGGAATAAGTGATCTCAAAAGATAGTTTGTGGAATTTTAGAGGAAGGAAGCACTCGAATAAAAGGATTTGCTTAATTGGTTGGTGATAAGGAAAAGTTAAATTCTATTTGGTTTATAATTTCATTACTGCACAATCTTTTGGATATTTTTAGTTTGTGATGGTTATGTATGTAAGGAAGGAAGAAAGATAAGTTTGGATAAGATTATTGTGGGTAAAAGTATGAGAATGGTGGATATGGGACTATTCAAAAGGTTAAGAACCGAAAATGGAAGTTGTTCAAATTGGAGATTCGGAAAGATTATTTTGAAACCTAGAAATAGGATGTCATATGCCATGAGAAGTAGGAAAGAATTTATATAAAGGATATATCCCTCAAAAAAAAGTTTTTGGAATTTTAGAGAAAGGAAACACTTGAATGAAAGGATTTGCTTAATTGGTTGGTGATAAGGAAAAGTTAAATTCTGGGTCTATAAGTTCGTTAATGCACAATCTTTTGGATATTTTTAATTTGTGATTGTTATGTATGCAAGGAAGGAAGATAAGTTTGGATAAGAGAGAGAATTGTGGGTAAAAGTATGAGAATGGTGGATAAAGGACTATTCAAAAGGTTAAGAACCGAAAATGGAAGTTTGTTCAAATTGGAGATTCGAAAAGCTTATTTTGGAATCAAGAAATAGGAAGTCATATGCCATGAGAAGTAGAAAATAATTTATATCAAGGAAAAGGAAAAGTTAAGAATTGTTGGAATCAAGGAATGAGACGAAAAGTTAAGAATTGTTGGAATCAAGGAATAAGGGATCTCAAAAGAAAGTTTGTGGAATTTTAGAGGAAGGAAGCACTCGAATAAAAGGATTTGCTTAATTGGTTGGTGATAAGGAAAAGTTAAATTCTATTTGGTCTATAAGTTCGTTAATGCACAATCTTTTTAATTTGTGATGGTTATGTATGCAAGGAAGGAAGATAAGTTTGGATAAGAGAATTGTACGTAAAAGTATGAGAATGGTGGATATAGGACTATTTAAAAGATTAAGAACCGAAAATGGAAGTTGTTCAAATTGGAGATTCGAAAAGCTTATTTGGGAACCTAGAAATAGGATGTCATATGCCATGAGAAGTAGGAAAGAATTTATATCAAGGATATAGAAAAGTGAAGAATTGATGAAATCAAGGAATAAGGGATCTCAAAAGAAAGTTTGTGGAATTTTAGAGGAATGAAGCACTCGAATAAAAGGATTTGCTTAATTGGTTGGTGATAAGGAAAAGTTAAATTCTATTTGGCCTATAAGTTCGTTAATGCACAATCTAATTGATATTTTTAGTTTGTGATGGTTATGTATGTAAGGAAGGAAGATAAGTTTGGATAAGAGAATGGTGGGTAAAAGTATGAGAAAGGTGGATAAAAGACTATTCAAAATGTTGGAACCGAAAATGGAAGTTTGTTTAAATTGGAGATTCGAAAAGCTTGTTTTGAAACCAAGATATAGGATGTCATATGCTATGAGAAGTAGGAAAGAATTTATATCAAGAATATGGAAAAGCGAAGAATGGTTGGAATCAAGGAATAATGGATCTCAAAAGAAAGTTGGTAGAATTTTAGAGGAAGTACTTAAATAAAAAGATTTGCTTAATTTGTTTGTGATAAAGGAAAGTTTAATTGTATTTGGTCTATTAGTTTGATAATGGACCATCTTTTGGTTATTTTTAGTTTGTTATGATTACTTAGGTAAGGAAGAAAGATAAGTTTGGATAAGAAAATTGTGGGTAAAAGTATGGGAAAGGTAGATGAAGGACTATTCACTTTCATAAATGTTAGAATTGAAAATGTTGTTTGTTCAAATTAGAGATTTGAAAAGCTTTCTTTAGAAAAAAAAAAAAATGTTATATGCCATGAAAAATAGGAAAGAGTTTAAATGAAGGATTTGACAAACTGAAGAATTATTGGAATCAAGAAATAAAAGATAGCAAAACCACGTTTGTGGAATTTTAGAGGAAAGAAGCACTGGAATAAGTGGATTTGCTTTATTGGTTGGTGATAAGGAAAAGTTCAATTCTATTTGGTCTATAAGTTCGTCAATGAACAATTTTTTGGATATTTTTAATTTTTGATTGTTATGTATGTAATGAAGGAAGAATGATAAATTTCGATTAGGGAATTTTGGGCAACAATATGAAAATGGTGGATGAAGGACTATTCGCTTTCATAAACGTTAGAGTCGAAAACGGAAGTTTGTTTAAATTTGATATTTGAAAAGTTTGTTTTAGAACCAAGAAAGAGGATGTCATATGCCATGAGAAGTAGGAAAGAATTTGAATCAAGAGCATGAAAAAGTGAAAATTGTTGGAATCATGGAATAAGGGATAACAAAACAAAGTTTGTGAAATTTTAGAGAAAGGAAGGACCAGAATAGGAGGATTTGCTTAATTGGCTGGTGATAAAGAATTGTTAAATTGTATTTGGTCTATAAGTTCGTTAATGGACAATCTTTTGGACATATTTTTAGTGTGACCTGGTTATGTATGTCAAGAAGGAAGGAGATAAGTTTGGATAAGTTAATTGTCGGTAAATGTATGAGAATGGTGGATAAATGACTGTTCACTTTCATAAACGTTAAACCGGAAACGGAAGTTTATTCATATTGGAAATTTGAAAAGCTTATTTTGGAACCAAGAAATAGGATGTCATATGCCATGAGAGTAAGAAAGAATTGGATCAAGGACATGAAAAAGTGAAGAATTTTTGGAATGAGGAACAAGGGATCGAAAAACTATGTGTGTGAAATTGTAGAGGAAGGAAGCACTAGAATAAAAGGGTTTGCTTAATTGGTTGGTGATAAAGAAATGTTAAATTGTATTTATCTATAAGTTCGTTAAAGGACAATCTTTTGGACATATTTAATTTGTGATAGTCATGTATGTAAGGAAGGAAGATAAGTTTTGATAAGAGAATTGTGGGTAAAGGTATGAGAATGGTGGATGAAGGACTATTCACTTTCATAAATAGTAGAGTCGAAAACGGAAGTTTGGTCAAATTGGAGATTTGAAAAGCTTATTTTTGAACCAACAAAAAAGATGCCATATGCCATGAGAAAAGGATGCCATATGCCACATGCCAGGAGAAGTAGCAAAGAATTTGAATGAAAGGACATGGAAAAGTGAAGAATCCAGAAATAAGGTACAGCAAAAGCAAAAATAAAGTTAGTGAAATTTTAGTGAAGTAAGCACTAGAATAAGGGGATTTGCTTAATTGGTCGGTGATAAAGACAGCCAAAGCTTGATATAGTTACAACTTTGGAACCACCAACCAAATACGATGTTTCCATAATCAAATAATAAAAGCTCAAGGTCATATTTCTTTTAGCAGTTTCTGACAGTATTGAAGCTTTTCTGATATTTTAGTTGTCTTCTTATATATGTATATTATCTTTATATTCGTAATTTTCTTTATGAGTTGTGTGTATGATCTGGAGTGTTGCTTATGCTCTGTGATATTTTTCTTCTGCGAGTTATGATTTGCTTTTGTCCAGAATGCTTTTGTTTAATTATCTCTCTGAATAGAAGCAACTTGATGGTGCTGGTATCGAGCTATCGAGTCTCTTCAAGCAAATTGAGAGTCAGGCTTCTTATGGTTGCTATACTACTGAAGCTTGGAAAAAGAGGATACACTAGATGGGGTCTCAAGTAACTGGCGATCTTCTTGCATCTGTATCTGACGCAGAGAACCCTTCACAAAGGCCTGTAAGGAGGTACAGCATGCCCTTATAGTATTGTGAAGCTTGTAGAAACTGAGATTTTCATTTCACATATGCATATAATGTCTGCTTTAGGTGTAGACGATATGGTAAACTTTTGGAGGAGGGCGCAAGTGGATATCTGTAGAAGAAATTCTCCACTCATGAGGCTGAGGGAATTGGAACATAAAATTTGGAAGTTGATGGGTGCTCTCTTAATAAAGTAACATTATTCGGCAGCAAGAACTAGGCTTCTATCTACTTGGCCAGCACTCCGCAGCTAGCTGCTGAAATGGGACTCAAATTTCCTGGAGTTGTTGAGGTACGTTTTGTTTTGTTTTGTAATTGTTTTTCTTTCTGTTCACATGCGATGTTCGGATTCTTTTGCGTCCCTCTTTGCACTTGCATTTTCATTTGCTTTGGGTCAATTTAGCAATAGCTTTGATTGCCTTTGGTTGGAAATTGTTGTGCAAAAACTCACTACACAACACTACACAAACGTACATAATCCTAGGTAGTAAATGATAAAAATTCGATCCCACTTGGACATATTTATGAAAATTTGATGAAACTAAGCAAAACTATGGTGCACAAATAGACTTTCAAATCTAAAATAATTAACACGAAAAAGACTTAAAAGAGGACAAAACATGCATAAAAATTATAAAACGCATTAGATAACACAATGTTACACAAGGGAAATTTCACATGACGCCAATCTGAAAGCTTATGGAATTCACTTCTCTTGCCTTTAACGCTAAGTTTCTGCCCTGTCAACGTAATGCATTAGATAACACAATGTTGCACAAGGGAAGTTTCACATGATGCCAATCTGAAAGCTTATGGAACTCACTTTTCTAATGACAAGTTAAACATTTCTTTGAAAACTCAATGCTAATGAACACTAATAAAACCCAAATTCTCCAAAATCATAAGCTTGGAACGTGTAACGACCCTAGATTTGTATTAATCTAAAGTCGCTACCGTCACTATCATCTATACTCTTATGCGGAATTAAATATTTAAAACTTCATCTCAGAACACATACTTCATCTTAAAACGCTTTCATTGACTTACATGTTTGAAAACATCTTAAAACAACATAAAGGAATACTAAATAAAACAAGTAGACCATTAAAGGTGAAAACACCCTATATTAACATAAGACTAAGAAATAAAATGCTACTATCCTATGCATGTGTCATGGTCTCTGATTGCGATGTCGTCATCAACCGTACAGGGGTGCCTTGCCTTCACCTCAAATAGAAGTAGCACACGGCTTGAGTATTTTAAGAAATACTCAGTAAGTGACCCCACTATTGGGACCAGGAAAATATAAACACATACAACTCATGATCTAGGGACTTATCGTTAGAACCATCGTAGGGGTGGCCTCCAGTCCGGACAAAATTGGATGTGTTCTACTTCCCTACACACAACTCACGTGCGAGTGTGGGTCTCCAAGTAGTTCGCACCCTCCTTGGACCCATCATAGTTGAGCTAGCTCTGTCCCTAGCGACGTCCGGAGGTCAACAGACCCTTGAGTGTCATGCAAGGTGTCACAATCGCACTCTTGCGATAGTGGGACAGCAATTGTGCAGCACTCACGGTTGACTTGTTTGCTATCGCAAGAGTGCGATTGTGATACCTCACATGACACTCAGGGGTCTACTGACCTCCAGACGTCGCTACGGGCAGCTAGCTCGACTATGATGAGTCCAAGGAGGGTGCGAACTGCCTTGGGATCGATCCACACTCAGGGGTCTACTGACCTCCGGACGTCGCTACGGGCAGCTAGCTCGACTATGATGGGTCCAAGGAGGGTGCGAACTCGCACGTGGGTTGTGTGTAGGGAAGTACTACACATTCAATTTTGTCCGGACTAAAGGCCACCTCTATGATAGTTTTAATGATAGGTTCCTAAATCATGAGTTGTATGTGTTTGCATTTCCTTGACCCCAATAGTGGAGTCACTTTCTGAGTATTTCTTAAAATACTCAAGCCGTGCGCTACTTCTATTTAAGGTAAAAGTAAGGCACCCCTGTATGGTTGATGGCGACATCGCAATCAGAGACCATGGCACGTGCATTGGTAGCAGTTTATTTTCTTAGTCTTAAGTTAGTATAGGGTGTTTTCACTTTTAATGATTTACTTGTTTTATTTAGTATTCCTTTATGTTGTTTTAAGATGTTTTCGAACACGTAAGTCCATGACAATGTTTTAAAATGAAGTATGTATTTTAAGATAAAGTTTTAAATATTTAATTCCGGTAAAGATTAATAGAAATCTAGGGTTGTTACACTTTCTTGGGAGAATTTGGGTTTTATTAGTGTTCTTGCATTGAGTTTTCAAAGACATGTTTAACTTAGCGTTAAAGGCAAGAAAAGTGAGTTCTATAAGCTTTTAGATTGGCATCATGTGAAACTTCCCTTGTGTAACATTGTGTTACCTAATGCATTACTTCGACGGGGCAAAAACAGATACTGGTTCCTAAATTTCACCGTTAAAGGTAAGAAAAGTGATTGTGCGGCACTTTTTTTAACCAAGCGAACAAGTCAGTCGTGAGAAATTCAGACGTCGCGGACAACGTCGGCTTATGTTTGGGCCTCGAGTCACATTGCGAAAAAATGGTTAGAAAACGTGAGCGAGGAAATACATTTGAAAACGAATGGAAGAAAGCAACGTTATATGACTATAAGCAAATAAATAAATACCACGACTTAAATAATATATAACTTAGGGTAGGAAGAAGTGACAACTAGTCATATCCCCTTATAGTATTGGAACATTTTACCCTTGGCGAGTGTAGACATGGTTTTGGTGAATGGTCATACACCTCCGTATTGACCCAATGTGAAATGGTCAAGGTCTATCTAGGATGAAAGCATATAAAAGGGGTTTGGAATGGGCATGCAACCATGGACAACACGTTCTAGATAAGCAAGACACAGACATCTGCTATGCGGCTATAGGCAACACGCCTTGGACAAGCATGATCGTGACCCACTCAATTGGTTGATGTCTCTATCAACCGATTCTTTACAACTCGGTGTTGTAGGTTGAGGCTGACTTTACCTTGGACAAGCATGACTGAGACCCACTCAATTGGTTGACGTCTCTGTCAACTGACTCTTTACAACTCGGTGTTGTAGGTTGAGGCTGACTTTAGGTCTCTTCAACGCGCTTCCAGCTGATCTTAGTGTTATGGAGTCTCTTCCAATCTGTAAGGAACTGTCGAAAACTACTTGGTTTGTTGACTCTTGGCGTCTCCTGAGTCGAAGTTTCTCCTACTTCCTTTGCTTGGGGATTATTCTTCTTTGTCTGAGGTCGTGTTGCCTCTCTATGCTTGACGTCTTCTAGGTCGAGAGAGTAATGTTTTATGTTATTGACGTGGACAATAGGGCTAATCTGCATCCATGGGAGCAATTGGATCCTATATGATGCCTTCCCGATCTTGTGGATAACTTCGATTGATCCATAGTATTTTCGCACCCGTCTTTGACTTTTGTTGCTTTGATCTTGGAGTTGATCTGACCTCAACTTAATCAGAACTCTCTCTTCTTCTTGAAACTGTCGTGGTCGATGCTTTCGACCAACCCTTCTCTTTCTCTGTCTGGATGGTACTTATACGTGAGTCATGTGTTGTTACAGAGGTATGTCTCTATCTCCCTTCTTCGATGGAGATGTTGACTTGGTGTCTCTCCTCAGCCCTTGGGTGATCACTAACAATGGTATTTGTGGGCCTAATGGACCCAATTGACAAGTCATTTAGGCAGCTGCCGGTAGAATTCAGCTAGCTCGGATTAAGCCGTATGACATTCATTCGTGGTGGGTGATTTTGCCCCCGATATGACATCAACCTTGCTATTTATCTGCCTAGGTGGAGATAAATACTTTAACTGACTTCCTTGTCTCGTGTTGCGATGTTTCTGAATTGACCACGAGGCTTTGACATTCCCTGTGAAGAACTAAGAGCGGAGTTCTTGTTTCAAGTTATCCCAAGTGTCCACAATACATCGACCATCTTGAATGTCCATGTACAAACCTCCAACATAATTTTGCATCGTCGGCTAGATGCATTGTTGCCAACGTGACCTTCGCTCCCTCTGACATGGTATTTGCGGCTCGAAAGTATTGTTTGAGGTAGAAGATAAATTTCTCTAGAGCCTTGGCATCTCAAACCCCACAAAAGGGTGTGGGCTCTGGGACCTTTATCTTGTTAAATTGTGCTACACTTCCAGTCGGGGTTTGGTTCCCCACCGCTCTCATCCCACAGTGAAGTTCTTGTTTGTAAATTATCTCTTTCCTCTTTAATTAACTGAGTTTTGGTGAGGCCATACCCAGTTTTTTTAAAGTTGTCGTGCCTATATAATTCCATATGGATATCGTCGTCATCACGCAGGGATTAGATGCTGCATGTCATGGGCGGATTTTAAGTACATTGATTTGGACACCAACTTCATATTTATTTATTTGTTAGTTTGTTTCTTTCACCTAGTTTCTCTATGCATGCATGCCTGTTTATCGTAGATTTGGTGAATTAGAATACAGTAAGTGTCCTTGTGATTGTGCAAGGCTTAATATAGGATGAGTCATTTTATATGTAGCAGTTCAAAGTTTATTTACAATAAAGAAATGAAACCGGGAAGACTTGTTTGCTCTATGAGATCTTCTTTAGGTATTAATTAAGATTTTTCAACCTGCTCCTTAGAAAAAGTGTCACATGTCCAAAATTAGACTGAAGTTCATAGTGCGAGTTGCAAAAAAGTTCTAACATCACTCACATTGAATGTCACTTAGTTACACAATTCTGATATCAGTCACGTTTTCCTGTCACACTCATGTCTGGTGGCGTCGATCTGGCCACAAAATTGCAGCGATGGTTGACAAGGATCCGTAGCTCTGTAATGAGGATTCATACAAAATCAACTGATCTCCCCGGTGATCATTGTTATTTTTATGGATGAACTATAAAATTTGTTCATGAAGTACATATGAAATTTATATGCTGTGTGCTCTGTTTGTAGAGATTTTCTGTTCCTAATATGCAGTGATAAATTTAAGACAATATTCACGTGAAAACTTTGGATTGTTTTTGATGCAGTACTGGGTAATCCAGAGTGATGTCCAAGGGAAAGGAACAGAACATCCATTAATTGGTGTTGTCTGTGGACACTTATTTGGTCTGAAGTTAGAGCATTATACAATTAATAGGCAGAGCCGGTAAGCTCCTGAACGAAGCGTCCACTGACTTTGAGAGTGCCATCATCATCATTAAGCACGGTAAGTCATCATCCCTTCTCCATGCCCATGCCTGTACTTACTCTCCTGCTTTACGCCAGCCCCCTGTTTTTTAAAAGAGAAAATAAGTATACCTAAGATTATACTCAAAATTTGAATACATTGATTGGATTAAAAAGACTAATTTCACAATCTCAAAAAACACAAAAGCCAAAACCAATATCTTTGAAATGACCTCAAAATTAGCGATGTGATTGGATTTTTGTGAAGCTTGAGATGCCAAAATTTGAACACATCCCTTCCATTATAAACAACTGCACATAATCCAATCTCTATTGAACAATGGAGATCTACATAACATAATTAATGAATAAAGTTGTACTAAAAGAATTAATGAATAATGTAAAATATATAAAAGCAACCTAACACACAGGCAAATAATTCAAATAAAAAAAATCTGATGTTTATTGATATTTAGTAGTTATTCAGCAAAGAGGAACTGCTCACAGCCTAAAAGCCTGTTTCTACTGCACTCTGTAGCTTTACCAACTTTTCTGTCACATCGTCCTTTTTTCCTTTTCCTTCATAGGTTATCCCTCAGATATTTTCTATCTATTTTTCAGGTAAATCTTACTAGATAAATTACAAATTTTATATATGAATTTTTATATTTATGTTTATTTAATCTTTCATTTTTCAAAATGACTATTTTTTTAAAAAATTTGATTTTGATTTTGATTTTTTTTTTTTTTTTTGCAAATTTCACGGATTTATTGAACACAAATTTCAAAATTTTGAGTTTTTAAACATAAGATTTAAATTTATAAAAATTTTAAAATTGTCATTAATTAAACATTTTTAAAAGCATGTCATAATATATATAATATTTTTTATAAGACATTATGGACAAAAAGAAAATTTAAGGATTTGAATCATTACTTTCCCATTTTCTTGAACTTAATAAAAAATAAAAACAAATTAAGCCTTTTTTTTTTTCAACCTATTCAATTTAGTTTAACATCTAAAAAATCATTAAAATTAAGGAGAGGTATTTTAGTAATTATAACATATCTAATTTCAAATGAATTTCTATTTTTATTGAGTGCCCATAGCTGTATTTATCCGTTACATCTACTATGTAATTAAATCATTAATAATTGAAAATAATATAACACCCTTTAATAAAATAATAAATCACGTGCAGGTGAGTACAATTATCGGTAATATGAAATTATTAAAGTTTCTTGATATCTTATCTCCATTTGCGGCTACGGGATTTTTATAAAGAAAAAGCTATCTAATTTCCTTATTTCTTTTTATTTATTTTAATTTCCAAAGATAATTTCGTACAAATGCAATAAATATATTTTCTAGTCCATGACACGTCAGTAGCCATCAACATGCCAGCCTGTCCAAATAAAGGCAAAATTTTGAATTGGGTCATACGGGATTCGCTTTTGCCGAAGTTACCTAAAAGTTTAGGGCTGTACCTATAATCCAAAGGGCAAGGGAGTTCTCTCTTCCACGTGGTAATCTTCTATTGGTCGGTGACGGAGAGAGAGAATTTTGGGTGGAGCATAGTGTTTCTTCTTTTTGTGGGTCATGGAATAGTCATTTTTTTTCTCTCCAGCTTGCATGATTAAAGTTATTTCACATTACGTTTTGGGACAGTAACAGTTGTAAAGTCACTCTCCTAAATGATTCCTTCAAATCTTGTGTACATTAAATAAATGTTCAACATTTTTTTTCTATTTTTTTATACCATATGATAAGATGCAAATCCAATCCATACACTCCCCTCACCCTTAAATATCCATACTTTCATATTTTTCATATTTTATAGTGAGTTTCTTTTTATTTATTTTTTTTTTCAGCTCAACAACTCTGGGGATGGAAAAATTTGAACGGTTGTACTCTTGACCAAAGGTACATATCTTAACTAGTTTAATTATATTCAAACTGAGACTCGTTTTTTTGTATATTAGTTGATATTTTATATGTTAACTTGTCTAACCTTTTTGTTGTCTATTTTATTCGTCACCCTTAATTAATGTCTATTTTATATGTTTGTTGATTTTTTGTTTGTTTAAAATCATTAACATTTTCACACACATTTTATTTCGTTTTTGGATAATTGGAGAAAGAGCCAAAAAATTTATGAAGATGAACTAAAATGATATATACAATTTAGAAGAAGAAATTAAAAGAGAAAAATTTAAAACAACTTTTTGGTAAGCTTTTTTAAAGTAAGACAAGCCAAGAGGGGACCTTCTCATTTTCCTCCTCCTGTCTATTGTTGCTGTCATATTTATAATATTGGATGCAGATTTAAAGATTTTAATGTTTCTTAATATCTATATACAAATTTGAAACAATATTATAATTTCTTTGATTTAATAGTACAGAAGTGTTGAGACATTAAAAGACTCGTCCAATAATTTCTGGCGAAAATGTGGAGGATGTTGTTTGATTAAAAAATTGAAAATGGGGAGGGGATAGGGTAAGGGAAGGTACAAGGGGTAGTACCATTCCAGCTAGCACTTACCTTACACTCATGCACCTACGTAAACACACAAAAGACAAATACGTGAAGACAATGTCTCCCCCCACTCCGTTTTTGTTTTAATTTGTTTATTTTCACCCAGCTGTACTCTACTTTCTTCTTCATTTTTACTATGGTTTCTTAGTAAATAATTTTTAATCTTATATTATTCTTGGATATTTGTTGACTACTCTTTACTAACTATGAGGATATTTCTGGTTTGTAAGATGGTTGTTGAGGATGGTTGAGAGGGAGTTCCATGTTGGCTAATTTAAGAAATGATAATGAGTTTATAAAGCAAAAGCAAAACCACGAGAGCTTATGTTCAAAGTACACACTATTATACCATGTGAGGTTTTCAAGTGGGTGTATGGTAGTTTAAGGATTAAGTGTGAGGTTTAATTAAACCTTAAAAACTAATCAGAAACTTGTAAAACGAACCCAAATTAAAAGTATGTCCATTAGGCAAAATTTGTAAAAGTAATCTTCTTTTTACCCTTTTTTATTTGAATTCCACATCGGAAATGATGTGGAACTGTAAATTTAATGAGGTGAGTAAGGTCGCTCCGCACTGGAAATGGCTATAAAAACATCTCTTTCTGACAAGTTTACTTGAACATCCACACTGTGAACTCTTCCCCTCACTCTGTTTATACCTCTCTAGCTCCCATGGCTTCTTCTGTGTTCTTGGGACTATGGGTTTCTCTTCTAATGCTTGGTTTTGCTTCTTCTGCTAAGTTCGACGAGCTTTTTCAGCCGAGTTGGGCTTTTGATCACTTCAATTACGAAGGAGATGTCCTCGAACTTAAACTTGACAATTACTCTGGTAAAAACCCATCCCATTTTTACGGCACTTTTCCTCATTCTCTCTACAATGCTTAATTTTGAAGTCGATTTCAGGAGCTGGGTTTTCATCCAAATCCACGTACATGTTTGGCAAAGTGACCATTCAAATCAAGCTTGTAGCTGGTGACTCTGCAGGAACTGTCACAGCATTTTATGTAAGTGAAAAAACATAAACTTAATCAAATGAATGTTACATTGAAATGATAACTTGTAGGATTCTTATCTTGTTTTTCTGGTGTAGATGTCATCGGACGGTCCAAATCACAATGAGTTTGATTTTGAGTTTCTGGGCAACACAAGTGGAGAGCCATATACAGTACAGACCAACATTTATGTGAATGGTGTGGGAAATAGAGAGCAAAGATTGAAACTTTGGTTCGACCCAACTACAGATTTTCATTCCTACTCCATTTTTTGGAATCGCCGTCAAGTCATGTAAGCAACTCCTCCTTCACTCCATTTACATTATTAGCTGAGTTTTTATTTCAAGCCACTGTTTTCATATATATATATGTATGTATGTATGTATTGTACTAAAAATGGGCATTGTAATGTAGATTTGACCCATCAGGAGAGTAGATATTGAATGAAATTTATAGAAAAGAATAGATTTGTTTTAGAACAGGACATTACATGTGGAAGAAATGAATCCAAGCTTTCATTAGAAAATGAGAAATAATTCAACCAGGAACATTCTTCATGTATTAGAATACCCATTTCGAGAATTATTATAAAAATGGCCATGTTTTTTCTTTAGTTTAAATACTAAACCAAACCTTGGAAAGGTTTGAAATTCAGAAACAAAAATGGAATAGACTCCAAATATTAGAAACCCACAAGATTTTAGCCTTTATGTGAATCAGTGCCCGTTAATGCGTGGCTCTGTACGAGCAGCTACCCGATCGGTGTCAATGGGCCAATGGCTCTGACAAAGCCATTGAGCCCTTCCAAACAAGGCACCACAATATTCCTCTTGGCCCCCCTTTCTGATCACATGCATGTGCCATCAATTTGGCCCCATTTCAATTCATGAATTATTAAAACATTACTATTCTTTCAAAATGTTGTTTCTCTTGAATTTTGATATTTATTTATTTATTTAAGATTTGAAGTTTGATATTTTTAATTAAGAATGAGTGATGACTGTCACGACTCTTATAATTATTGTTTATTTCAATTCATGAAGTTTGACATTCCACGGTGGTATAATATTGTTTATTTTAACTCTTATAATTATTGTCGGACTCCCTCCCAACCATTCTTGTTCCATAAAAATTTCTTCTTGTTCGTGTAGATTTCTCGTGGACGAAACCCCAGTTCGAGCCCACATGAATATGGAAGACAAGGGTGTGCCATTTCCTCGAGACCAATCCATGGGAGTTTACAGCTCTATTTGGAACGCAGACGATTGGGCCACACAGGGCGGCCGAGTCAAGACCGATTGGTCCCACTCCCCCTTTATTGCCTCTTATAAGGGCTTCCAAATCGACGCCTGCGAGTGCTCCTCCGCCACCGGAGCCACTGCCAACGCCACCTGTTGTAGCGGTAGCGGTATCGGCGACAACGGCAAGAAGTTCTGGTGGGACGAGCCAGTGCTTTCAGAGTTGAATGTACATCAAAGCCATCAGTTGCTCTGGGTTCGGGCCAACCATATGATTTACGATTACTGTACTGATACTGCTAGATTTGCAGTTACGCCTGTTGAATGTATTCACCACCGCCACTAGCGGCGGTGGCTATAGATTAGTGCTTTTGTTGGTCGTCGCGATGGTGTCTCTTTTGTGTAAAATAACATTAATTTTTTTAAAATTTCTTTTTCATATCTTGCTTTGCTTCATTCATTGTGTCACTTCCATCTCCAACAAATTTTGTCCTTTTTAAGTTTTTATTTATTCACGTCAATCTAACGATTTTAAAACACATTTACTATAAAAAGCTTTCCACACCCTTATAAAAAAATATTCGTAAACACTTTCTATAATTCATGATAACTTTTATTATTATTATTTTGTTTAATCAAATTCATCTCATATTCATCCCTATTTAAATGGGTATATATGTATATATATTTAACTTTATATATATATATTCGTACAAACAAGTTACTTTTTTCTAGTTCTTGGTACAATACAAAGTTATATAAAATTATGAAGTTGGTGGAACCTATTCTCGTTCGGCTGAAAAGCAAGCGAATGGCTATCCAATTGGAGTCCCATTATTCAACTTTTTTATTTTTATTTTTTAAATAACATTATTATAAGGTATCACCTAAAGTATGGTCCATAATTATCCAAAAAGTATGGTCCCTTGTTGAATTATGGAGGTCCAAAAAAGTCTGCCTCCTACTTCGAAAATCGAACATTTCATAGAAGTTCTTCATTTTGGTACCCTCAACATTATTAAGATTTTTTTTTAAAAAAAATAGTTCATTAAACATTAGAATAGCGTTTTATTTAACATTTGACACGTTACTAAATGATATACATACATTATTTTAAAAAATTCTAAAAAACGGAATTGTGGTTAAAAAAAAAAAAAAACTAAATAATCATCCAAATCTTAAAACTTTTAAAATATAATTGTTTGAGCGATTTAAATTTTGAACTTTGAGAAAGTAATTATTTTAGTGTTTGATATATTATTTTTTTAAATAAAAATAAAAATACCAAATTTTTTATTTTTCTATATTTTCCATAATTCACTCCTCTTGCTTACTGATTGTAATTGGGCTTCTGAAAGAGAGCCCATTGGGCCATCTAAATATGTCAGCCAAGATCTATTTGGGCCTAGCTTTGTGCTTGATTAGGGCAACAAGCAAGCCCACAATCAAGCCCGTTCTGAGGAAAAGGAAACCCAAAGTCGTTCCCCTTTCATGGTTGATTTTTTTAACTGCCATTTTCACACCGTTAAAATTAAAATAGTAACTTTAAAATTACAAAATCAACTTTTAACTATTTTATCAAATTTTAAATGCACTTAATTTTTTTAAAGTTTAAGAGATTAAAAGATTTGACTTTATTTTAATTGAACGACATGTATCGATAAATTTTTTTTCAAGAGATCATCTCTCGATCGAGACGTATAGATAATGTTTTCATCAATTGAGCCGAGCATAATGTCTCGGTTTGGAACTACAATTTTTTTTTTGACCCATTTAGGAATAATTAAAGCTATAATAGAAGTGGGTTAGGTTGGTAGGGTACTAGAAAAGATGAATGATATAATATAATTAGTTAGGTTATTAAATAAAAAACGGTATGTGAGACCGACCATAAATGATAAAATCTTGGGGAATTAAAAAATCCAGCTCTGAAATTGTTCGCATTTATTCACATAAATAAATAACCTCCAATAATCGCCAGCTGTATTCTTTTTCGCTTCTGCTACCAATTCCCACGCGGCTTTTTTCCCTTTTTCTTTTTATTTCACTTTTTCTTTGCTTCCAACTTTATATTAATTTTCAAACTTTTTTTTCTTTTTAATTCTTTTCTAATAAAAATAAAAAGATTTCCACGAAGATTCATGCGACCATAGGAAAATTAAATAAATTAAATTAAATTTTAGTGACGTGTCTACTTTTTCTTTAGTAAAATTAACTTTTCAATTTTTTATAAAAATTTGAGCAATGTTTTGGCATATCATTATATTATCAATTTTTTTATATAAATTTTTTATGATTTCTGTGATGAGAACAAATCACCGGATGTGGAAACTTCTCCTAGAAGACGCGACCTTGAGGAGAAGTCCGGGAGGGAAAGTCTAAAAAGGACAATATCTACAAACGGTGGATCTGGGTCATTACAAATGGTATCAGAGCCAGATACCGGACGATGTGTTAGCCTTCTTGTAAACACGAGGCGGTGTGCCAGTAACGATGTTGGGCCCCAAAGGGAGAGTGGATTTGGGGGCGGTGTGCCAGTAAGGATGCTGGGCCCTAAAGGGGAGTGGATTTGGGAGCGGTCCCCCCAAAGGGGAGGCGGTGTGCCAGTAAGGACGGTGGCCCCAAAGGGGAGTAGATTTGGAGGCGGTCCCGCATCGATTGGAGGAAGGAAAGAGTGCCAAGAGTGCTAGCGAGGACGCTGGGCCCCGAAGGGGGGTCGATTGGAGAAAGGAAAGAGTGCCAACGAGGATGTTGGGTCCCGAAGAGAGTGGATTATGATAGGTTTTAGAAAGCTTCCCTTACCACGAGTTCTAAACACAATTTAAAAAAGAATGGTTAAAAGACAAAATTGAAAATTTTAAATTATAGGAGCAAAAATCCAAACAAATTTATAATGAACAGCTACTCTACTCCACGCGTATTGCTTTGGTTGTAAGTAAACAGCCTCACCAAATGAAGTAATGAAGGTCCCTATACCAATTATGATGCATACTTCTGTTCAAACTACTTTCAAAACATAAAAACAAAACCTAGAACACAGGACCCACCTCCCCCAATTCTCAACATACAACACATACTTCACCAGCTCCAAACTTTCTGTATTTAACGCCCAAACCCTCCAATCCCCTTCACATTCAAAAACCCATATTCATAAACCTCCTTAATTCAATTAAAGCTTCCTCATTTCCAAATCCCATGCCCAAAATTTCCCTTCTTTGCCTCCTTCTGGCCCAGATCTTGCTGATTCAAGCAATGGCTTCGACTGCCACAACCACAACTCGCCATGTGTCGGTGGCCCCGGAGCCATCGGAGACCGACAACGTAGAAGGGCCTGGACTGGCGGAGGCGCCGGAGATCCGACGCCTGGGAAAGCATCACGTTGATAAGTCCGTGGCCGGCGGGGGAGTCATCATTGGCGGCCTTGTTACGGCAGTTTTTGCAGCTGTTTTTTGTTACATTCGGGTTACTAGAAAAAGAGATGGGGTTGATTCGGTTCATTGAGATTTTTTAATTTTTAATTTTTAATTTTTAATTTTTAATTTTTTATTACTGATATTGAAGTGAATAGTGAAGTGGGTTAGTTTTTGGTTATAAAATCTCTTGTGAGAATATTCTAATTCGTTTTGTAAAGCAAAAGTTTCATTCGTTTTGAAGCCTAAAAACGCTGAAAGATTTTGAGCATTTGGAAGCCAATGGGTAAATGTTCATTCGAATGGTGGCATGCACCCATCTACTTCGCCGTCTCTGTAGTCTTAGCCTTCTTCGCCATCTCCACAGCTCTGAACTCCACGGCTACTTCCCACTCTGCAACTCCGCCGATCAAAGCCGTCGCCGACGAACTCTCCATAAACGCATCAAGGGCCTTAAGAAGAGCCGGTTTCAACACCATTGCCACGCTCCTTCAGGTCTCCCCTGAACACTTCTTCTCCCCTCAAAACTCCACCATTTTCGCCATTAAAGATTCCGCCATCTCCAACACCTCTCTACCGCCATGGCTCCTCAAGAATCTTGTTCAATACCACACTTCCCCTTCTAAGCTTTCTATGGCTGACTTGTTAAAGAAGCCTCAAGGGGTCTGTCTCCCGACCCTTTTGGCGCCAAAGAAAATTGCTATTACTAGAATGGATTCCACTGCTAGATTGGTTGAGATCAATCATGTTCTTGTTACAGACCCTGATATTTTTCTTGGTGGAAATGTTTCCATTCATGGCGTTCTTGGGCCATTTTCTCCTTTGGATCCTCTCGATGTTCATCAGGGATGGAGCTTTATTCAAGCGCCGTTCTGTGATTCAACCGCTACTTTAATTTCAGATTCTCTTGAAAACAAGAAGGGGGTTGAAGTTGAATGGAGAAGAATCATACGGTGGCTCAGTGCAAATGGGTTTGTTTCTTATGCAATCGGATTGCAATCTGTTCTCGAAGGGATTCTTCAAGATTTCGAAGGATTGAGATCGATTACCGTTTTTGCACCGCCGAATTTGGCCTCTGTGGCATCTTCATCGCCTGTTCTGACGCGAGCAGTGAGGCTTCACATTGTTCCTCGAATGGTTACATACAAATTCCTCGCTTCGTTGCCGGCCAGAACTTCGTTCAAGACGCTCGTCTCCGGCCAAGATCTTCAGGTCCTCGGAGGCGTTCGGGTTCCGAGAGGAACGGTGGTCGTTAATGGCGTGGAGATTGTCTCGCCGGAGATTTTCCGGTCAAGGAACTGTGTGATCCATGGGATTTCCCGGTCGCTTGAGACCGCCAGTTTACCTCATTTATCAAGGTGACATCTGTTCTGATTCAGAATTCAGATTTTATTGACATGATGAAGAACATACAAATACATAGGAAGGAAATTCTGACCTGCAAGTTCTGTACATTAGGTTTTCGTTTCGGAAAAGAATAAAACAAATTGAAATCGAAAAAGGAGATTAAGAAATCGAACGAACGTTCTATCGAGAAATTCTTTTCATTAGAATGCGAGTCATTTTCAACCCTGTTAGCGTCACGTTGATCGAATTAACAAATCGCGATTTCGTAAACAATCCTACAATCTCCCCAACTTCAGCATCTCCACATTCCTCCACGACGATCACACAGGCACCATTCGGACGAACAGCTCTCTCCATTTCCGAGACAAATTGAGACGGAAACAAGGCCTCGGCCAAATGAGGAGTAAACGCTAAATCAAAAACATGATCAAAGAAGGGCAAATTATGCGGATCAGCACGACTGACCAATGGCGGTGAATCGACCAATTCGACGCCGGTGACATCGAGGACTCCTATCTGAGAGAGCGCCATGACCTCGTGGCCTGCTCCGGCAGAAATACAGACGACTTTGGTGTGGTTATGGAGAAGCCCTAGATCGCGAATGGTGTGGAAGAATTGGACGAAGGAGGAGACCTTTTTCTGCCAATCTTTGGTGGACCAGAGGCGCTTGTTCTTCTTGTCGACGGAAACGAGCTCGCGAGGAGAGGAATCGCAGGAGGATTTGGGGAATCTGAGATGAGGTTTTGAAGGGGAATTTGGGGGAACGCAGGTTTCTGGGGTTTGGAGGAAGAGCAAGAGGAGGATGAATGTGGCTATGGCAACGGAAGCAAGTGAGAGCCTGTTGAGAAAAAGGCGTACGTGCCGTTCCATTGTTGATTCCCGATCCAAGATTGTCTTCCTCTTCGTCTTTTTGTCCTTGGTTGTGAAACCAAATACCTCCTTTCGTGGTTGAAGATAAAAGAAAGAGCAAACTATCTATTATTTTAATCACACGAACCATAGAACCATATGTACGTTTAAAATCGAACTAAGCCTCATGTATAGACCAAACACGGTTCAATAAGGTTCATATATAGACCGAAACCTGTTCAATAAGACTCATGTATAGTCCGAACCCTGTAAGACCGAAACCTGTTCAATAAGACTCATGTATAGTCCCCCTGTTCAATAAAATTCATGTATAAACCGAACCCTGTTCAATAAAACTCATGTATAGACCGAACCCTGTTCAATAAAACTCATGTATAGACCGAACCCTGTTCAATAAAACTCATGTATAGACCGAACCCGAACCCTGTTCAATAAAACTAATGTATAGACCGAACCCTGTAAGACCTTATGTATAGACTGAACCCTATTCAATAAAACTCATGTAAGACTGAACCCTGTTCTATAAAACTCATGTATAAACTGAGTCTTGTTCAATAACGCTCTTGCATAAATTTGAATCTCTAGAAGAAGATTCAAAGGTCTCTGGTTTTAATAATGACAAAAAAAAATATTCAAATAGAGAAGTTATAATAATGAGAGTAGATGCATGTTTAATATTAAATGTTAGTCTTAAGATTAACATCACATTAATTTGTTATTCTCTTCAACAATCATCTCAACAAGTTAAACTGGAAAGTACATTCTAAATATCAAATAGCATAAATCAGCAGAAATATAATATGAATAAATGTGAAGTTCAACATCAATAATATTCATAAATCATATGGAAAGACCTTTCTTTCTGCTATCTACCTTCTTGTAAGGTGACTGTCAACTCATTATGGGAGAAAGTTTCTGGTTTGGTGGAGGAAGAAGCTCTGCTTGAGGGGCACCGCCGCACGACGAATGCCGGTGGTTTCGGAGATGGAAGAGTTGCGGTTTCGCTGCCGAGCATGAAGACCACATTTGACATGGTGGGTCGATCCCATGGATCTTCCTGCACGCACAACAGCCCCACGTTTAAACATTTCAAATATTCTTCTCTTTTGCAATTCTCACTCACTGTTGGCTCCATTAATTCCAAGCCTTCGTCTTTCATCCATAAATCCCAAGCCTGAGAACAACGTAAAGACTCAGATTGTTGAATCTGGGATGTGCTCAAGAAGCGCTGATATTCAGAAAGTTATAACTTACATAGCCTAGAAGACTCAAAGATTTCTCTGAGTGATAGAATCCTGTGTTCCTTTTTCCACTAATGATCTCGACTACGACTACACCGAAGCTAAAGACATCAGATTTTACAGAAAATATGCCGTCCAATGCGTATTCCGGTGACATATAACCACTGTTAACAATCAGAAAAATCAAGGAAATTATGTGACATTATACTATGAATATGGTTTTTGATGATTTTTATTGCATGAGACTTACTAAGTCCCTACCACCCTTCTGGTATTCGTCGCAGTTTCTTTCCCTCCAAATATCCTCGCCAAGCCAAAGTCAGATATTTTGGGATTCATCTCCTCATCTAGAAGAATGTTGCTCGTCTTCAAATCCCTATGAATAATCCTCAACCGCGAATCTTGATGTAGATAAAGAAGGCCACGAGCAATTCCCAAAATGACATTGAAGCGCACGTCCCAATCCAATGCCACACTCAGCTTTTGATCTAGCAAAAAGTCGAGTAAATCCAGAATTCAGCATATAAATCATCAAGAAAAATAAGAGAATTAAGGAAAGATAATAGTGACAAACCGAATATAAAGGCGTCTAAGCTTTTGTTTGGCATGTATTCATAAAGCAACATCTTTTCATCTCCTTCAACACAGTAGCCCAAAAGTCTAACGAGATTTCGATGCTGAAGTTTCGCAATTAATAAAACCTCGTTCTTAAACTCCTCAAAACCTTGTCCTGAACCTCTCGAGAGCCTCTTTACAGCAATCTCCTGCCCACTAGGGAACTTGCCCTGAAAATGCAGTGATTCCAATCTATTCTTAAACCAGGACATGTTTAAAACGACCATCAATGTGTTTCGAGGATCTGTACCTTGTAAACTGGCCCAAAACCTCCCTGTCCAAGCTTATTTGCATTTGAGAAATTCCCTGTCGCAATTAGAATTGTTTCCAAGTCAAAAAATGGAATGTCTATTCCATTTGTATCATCTTCTTTGAACCGACCCGATTCAATCATGTCTTTGACACGTCTCTCGTTGTCATACAAGTGAAGTATTAGATCTTTTTGGCTGTTTCCCCTGCTTTCTGAGTCCAAAGAGGATTGACTGTATTTAGATTTAAAGGAAAGAGATGAAATAGAGAAAGAAAATTATTCAGTGTATAAGCGGCTGTTAAATTGGACTTGAAATTACCTTGTCTTTCAATGAGCCCAGTTTTGGAGAAGTAAATATAAAACCCAGTACATGAGAGAATAATCAGAAGGACTATACATATGGTTGTTGCAACAATAATCACAGAGAAGCTCGTTTTGCCTCTTCCATCCTTTTCTTTGTTGTGATCTATGGAAACATCAATAAGGGACTCTTGGTATAAGAAAATTTTATGTAGCTAATGGTTCCCAGCATCAATGCCATTACGTATGAACATAACTAGAAACATTATATGCAATGATTCTTACCTGTGGTGCAATTCAAGCTCCAGCCATTCCAATGGAAGTTTGTAATGCAAAGGCATCTTTTATTTCCATCTTTACTCGTGTTGCAAGTTGAGTAAGGCCAGTCTTTGCAGTCTGTAGTTGAAGAACAAGTTGGCTCTAATGGAGGCTCCCAACCGATTTCAACTTCATTGCTGGTTTTCAGAGAAAAAATCTCTGGATTGGTCTCCTTAAAGTTGCACCAGCTGGTTACATGGAAAAGAGATGACTGGTTCAGCTGAAGGGCTTTGTTTATCCAATTTTTATCACCACAATCACCAGCTTCCTTGGTTTGAATGATAAATTTCCGCGCTTCTGAATCAATGAATTTAACCTTGTACGTTCCACCTGCTGCTTCAAAGTTAACCTGGCCAGTAGCCACATTGCAGTTAAAATTGAAGTACATTGGGTCACCACATTCAGGTCCTGTGCTAAGCGGATAAGGAATGAGGTTTGTGCCACATGTTCCACAATTTCTGACAGTCAACTCTGCAGAAGTGCAAACTCACAGAACTTTAAAAACACAACTGAAAATTCATCATTTTGAAAGACACATACACAAACATACCTAGATCTTGAACTGCTACTCGAACGTTGAGGTCACGGCCATTATCAAATTCATCCTGAAGATTGTTGAGATCTCCAGACCAAATCCAACAAGCAGAATTATCAATCCCACCCTGCCTAGTGATATTAGCTTCAAAATATGAGTAAGCCTGACACCGGCAGTTGTTAAGGCACTCCAATTTGCAATCAAAGACATCCTTTGCATTAAACTGGAAGTCTGGGTTTCCAGCTTTCATCATCTTTAGACTCAAAAAAGTGTCACTTTCATTGTCGACACTGCATATTGGTGATTTCCTGATGCATCCACCAGAATAATCTCCCATATTCCAACTCTCTAGAGAGGTGGGCTCAAAACCAGGCAGGCATTTGCAAGCCATACCACCCTCACTATTACAGCTAGCAAAATCGCCACACGCATTATACACACTGCATCTATCTCTCGGCTCTACCCAAATCTGAGACCAGACTTTGTGATCATCCCAGTTTAGATATAGAAGCTGACCGGAGCTGTTCAATACTAACCTTGTATCACTATACAATGATGATGTGAGATGTGGCACGGAGAAGTTTGGGACAGTTTTCGATGAGAAATTTGACAAAAGGTATAACAATGCAGCAGGCATCTTATCAGTGGTAATAAACTTACCTGAAACTCCACTTTTCCAGTATTTAACTGATCTCTTCCAAATGACATATTGACTTCCATCTTGATCTAGCTGAAAAGTGAAGTTCCCTTGAGCCGGATCATCATAGCTCTTCCATGAAGTCAGCACTAAGTTATCATCCATTACCATGCCAGGAAGAAATGTATCAGTTGGGTAATCAAAACTCTGCCAGAGGATGTGCTCAGACAAGTCTTCCTGATCTACATAGCTCAAAACCAGATTTCCATTATCCATTAGCTTCAGGGTCCTGTGATCGAGTACAGAACTTCCAATGTTTGTTGACCAATAAAGATTCTGATTTCCATTATATACTTTGAGGTTGCCATCATCCTCAATCTTAAAGACACCATCTGAACCAGCAAGTGGCCTGTCTCGATTGGCAACCCAAACAACCGTACTTGGATTTGATTTGTAATACCATATTCCCAAGTATCTTCTGCCATCAGAGCTGCCATACGGCGTAAAAAATCCAAGTTCGAATCTGGATCCTGCGGATACAAGAGTATCCCCTCGCTCATCAGTTATGCAACTCTTAAACTCTAAGATATCTTTAGCAAAACAATTAACGACAGAAATTAAGAACACAAATGAGTACAAAAGAAAATAAGACATCAACTCCTCTGCAAACCAGCTGCTGGTGGCCAAGTTCTTGACACTTCTTCTTTTGGCCACCAATTCACTACTTCTGCTATGCAATAAACATGTTCCCTCTCCTCTATTTCCTTCATCCATTTGTTCTCGTAATTTTCAAAATAGAAGTGACCATAAGAATAACGAAAAAGATCATACTCGTGAGGAACACCTTTCTCTTTGGTTTCAACAACAATACAAAAATGTCGCTTTCCCACCTGACCCACATGATCAAGCCATTTACCAATAAACACTGTGCATGATTTTGCAATTATAATAATAGTGTAAAAAAAATACTAACCAAGTGAATGATTATATAAATAATTCAAACATGAATGTCTAAAATAGAAGTTCGTTTGGAATAAAGGACAAATATCCTTCAAAGAAAGCCATTTTTTCAGAGTGAAATTCACAAGAAAACATTCATTCTTGGTTCAGATTCTAAACCCAGATATTGAGCAATTGTAATCTAAACAGCACTAATGTACAACTTTTTCCCCCCACTTGCAAGTGCAAATTGATAATCAGAAAGTGTAATTGGGTGTTTGTGTTTGTCTAAGCTGAATTATTGGAAGGAAAATTGGGCAACCAAGGTCAAGATTCACTGTTCTTGTCAATTTCACCTTTCCATTAGTGGACCCATTACTCTAAACTTTTTCTCCTCATCTTTATGAGAGAGAGAGAGAGAGAGAGAGAGAGAGAGAGAGAGAGAGAGAGAGACTAAAGGCGTAGCCTACACAATTTGATCAACCCTAACTTTGCTTTCATCTTCATTTGGGCGGGCGATTCTAATGCATTAAAATCGTCTACATCTTTCACTTTTTAAAATCGAAGAAGAGAGGCCCACAGAGAAGACTTTCGTCGATTGCACGTTCTTTAATGGCACAGATGGTGCGATTCTATAGCCTGAGACAAAGCAAAGCCATCGAGCAGTACAATTCACAAAAGAGT